CCGCTGCACTTAACTTGAACTTTTTAAAAAGTTGGCAAGACTCATGGGGCGCCCTTTTTTAACTGATTCCAAGGAATTTACTTAGATTTCTACGCTCACTCTCTTTACTCCATTTGTTTTTTTCTTCTATTTTTTCGCCCTGTTTTTTACTACTGAGACAGTTAGGCGTTGGAAAGGCCACACATATGGCTGGGCCTTGCCAACTAAGTTGTGATTGTGCTTGTGTATATATAAATGTATATGTGTAAGTTTGTGTGCGAAGGCTTGGCTCGACCCACACAACTTTAGTCAACCACCCACATGATGACGACTTTGAAAGAAATACGCATTGGCCTTTGGCTTTGGCTCCGGCTCCGGCTTTGGCATTGACCAGGCACATTAAAGCGACAACTTATTGCCATGTTTTAGCATTCACATTCACCAAAATGGCTTATCAGGCAGGCAGCAAACTGAAGCACTCCTTCAGCTAAATATCCATCAATCCATTGACTTGGCAAAAAGACTTTCCGCCAATTAATTGAACTAAGACAAGTTCACAGAATAAAATTATATTCCTAGAACTAAAGTATTATCTGAACGAAACCATAGTCTTAAAAATATAGTTTCTAAGAATTAAATAATAAACTGGCCAAAATTATATTTTGCATGAACACATTATGATAGTCTGAAACCTAAAACTTACACAACTAATATTGAAATGAATAATACAAAATTAATATAAAAATATTCTAGAGAAATATCGTTAAAGATTTGGCTTGAAAGTTAAAAGTGGAATCTTAGCTGAATATCTAAATGACAAACAAAAATTAGATGGCTTACCAAAGTTAAATAAATAAAATAAAAATTAGGGTCCTATTGTAAACAAAATGGGTTTGTTTAAAGAAATTAGTTTATTTTTAATCAAAAAAAAGATAACAATTCTTTGACTAAGAGAATTATTAAATATTAACTATATTTTTTGTTTATTTTAGACTGGACACAACCGAAATCATCTTTAGAAAAAGTTTAAAGATGCTTTAGGGGTAGCTTTTGACAAATGCAAGTCAGATTGGCTTGCCAAAGTCGATGCTATAATCTATTTTGCATAGCAGCTCAACACTCAACAATACTCCACAACCTTCTAAGGACTCCCTACACTGACTGCGCACACCCCCGCCCTATCATTATGTGCAATATATGTATGCGAGGCTGTCTTGTAGATGTATTCAACGAAATTATCATCTGGCTTTCGTACGTGCCGCCTAGCCAAGTTAGAAGTCTGGCGTGTCCTTGTGCCTCGCCAGTGCCGCAAGCTTTGGCTCGTGCAGCTGCGCTGCCTGCACCACCAGCCCTGCCCCCTGCTTTATTTTTTGTGCTTATCTCATGGCAAACACTGGTTGCTTGCGACTGCAAAACTGCAAAATAATAAAACAAAAATGTGAATTTTCGAGTAAAATGAATAGAAAAAAAATGGCAAAAGGTGGCCAAATGAAATTGGAGCACGAAATTTTAAGTGAAATGTCGAAATGTTTTTTTTTTTTGTTGTGAAATGCAAAAAGGATACTTAAAAATTGTGCACTGTTTATAGCAAGCCAAGTGATAGTTATTTATTTGCTGTAATTCTATTCTTTGCTTGTTGCCAAATGCTTAAAAAAAAAAACAGAACGACCGATGCCTCAACAAGTATCTTAGTGGACAAAAAGCTTGGCCAACATTTAAAGCTTGCGTTGTGGCCAAGTTCAAATTGTGTTAAGGATATTCACAGAGTGAATGTGTCTGTTTGTGTCTGTGTGTTTGTGTGTATATTTATGTACAATGGATACGAAACAAGAATACAACAAAAAATACAGGCAGCTAAAAGCCAGTTTTATATTCATTACGAGTCAAGCACCACAAGAAACACCAGCAACAACAACGGCAACAATTTACGACTTCAAAGCAAGCAGGTCCACTTTCTTTATTGCTACGGGCTGCTAACCTTATAGAAAATGCGCTCTCATGCACACCGATAAATACAAACACACACACACACACACACACAAATAACTTAGGATGTAAAAATGAAAAAAGGAGAGTAAAATAGAAAACAGTAATTATTAAGATAGTCTAGATTTTATGAGATATTCCAACGTTTTTTTTATTAACTATCAAATTAATATTGAATTTTCGAAAGTTACTTGTGAATGGGAATTGTATAAAAGGAATATAAGGATTAGAAAATACATAACTTTAAAGTTATTATTTTAACTTTTTGTATTACTGATATAAGAAATTTTTGTTATCATTTAAAAAAAGTCTAAGTGTACAGAAAATATATTCATTAATATATTTAAAAAAGACAAAAAAAATGCTTACAGTATAAAAACGAAAGGATAAAAATAACAAATGAATAAATCTTAATACTGGCAGGAGTTCAACGATTGCCAAATTGTTGAAGGACGATCAAGCATACAGAAACGTAATAGACACACCTGAGAGTTGGACGAACTCACACATACCATCTAGATGTACATATATGTGTCTTAACTTGGCTTAGGCAATACCAACAATTACAACAAACAGCAAGTACCAAAAGTCTGAGGCAGCAAACAAGCGCAAGTAATGACATAGTCAAAGTTTCTATTTTCCATTTGCCTTTTGCTTAACTAACTCAAGTGAAACCCAACTTGGCTTATTTTGTCGGACTCTTTGGCAGTTGCTCGTGCCTTTTGCGATTGTTTATTTATTTTGCGCTAAAAATTAAACGTCCACGAAAGTTTCGTTGGGCGGGTAAATTACTTTACACGCCACTTGAACACGCAGGCAACGTAAATTCCAGACTCGACATGAGCTGAACATTTAATTTAATTAAAAAATAAGAATAAAATGTGAAAAGAAACTACCCAAAAATTTGAATAGCATGGACGTAGTCAAAACGAATTAAACATAAATTAAAGCTGTTATACGGTTTAAGGACCCTTTGAAAGCAAAGCTTCTAATATAAAATAAAATAATATTTGTAGTCCCCATTGTTAAACAATACTTTCTACAAAGTCTTTCATTGTTGATCTTGCAGATAAAAGATGTTTTAAAGCACGAAAAATATTTAAAATAACACTACAAATCAACTACTTTCGCAAAACAATTTCTTTACGTTTTATTTTGACTGATCACAAATCACTGAAAAAAAAAACGGTGATTATGCTAAATACTTTTCTGAATAGCATGTTTCGCAGCTGAAAGTCCATATTTAAAGACAAAAGGAACATGACAATTATAATGCCATTATTAGTTGTGTCTGTTTATAGCTTCCCTCAAGGGCAATAATTACAAAGTAAACAACCGATTTCTGGATACCTGATTATGGAAATACTATATGCATTGCTTCTAAGAATTAAAGCATTTCACAGTCACATTTAGGACAAGGTGGCACTTAAAGTTTCTAAACTCATGCAATTGCCATACACTACAATTGGCAGCATTTTTATCAGCATATTTGTGCTGCTATTTGGCCATTAAAGCGCTACGCATAACTTGGCTGATAAGAGATACATTTTTTTACGTACTTTCGTTTCGAAGCTACATTAAGAGCAAGAAGCACAACAAGGATACGCACTTGACGCTCACGGCAGGAAACATTGTTTAACAAGGACGACACGTTAAGCAACAAATATTGTAGTTGTTTTTTATGTGTGAGTTATATTATTTTTAATTACATTAATTAGTGATATTTATTATAATACACGACCGTTAGACAGGTGCACACAGTTAAGCTCTTCAAACACTAGCATATCATTTATATTTTTTAATAATTTATTATACGGTTTTTGAAGCTTTTTTTTGGGGTTTACATTAATAACATATATATATTTTTTTTTGGTTGATAATTCTATTAGTTACGGTTGCTGGAGTTTAAAGCCAGTTTTTGTTGTGCTGCGTGTCTGTGTGTGTTAACGAAATGAGGAAAGATTGTCTACTGAATTTGCAAAACTTGACCCGAACCAAAAAACCCAAACGAACTGAGTTGAGTCGAGACGAGGCGAGCGAGCCAAAGCCAAAGTCAGAGCTTTGCTGCTGCTGCTGCTCCTGCTGCTGTTTCACGGACAACGTTGCGTATGTGTGTTGTGGAAAGTGCGTGTGTTCGTGTCCCGTACAGTGTTGGGCAATACGCGCGCAAATTGCCAACGCTTGCACACAACAGGCAAATGGCAATGTCGCCCACAACAGCTGAGCAGCTGAGCAGCCGAGCAGCCGACCAGCTGCTGAGAGAACCAAAACGAGAGCAACGGCGACAGTGCGAGAGAGTAAGAGCGAAAGAGCACGCGCACAGTGTCCAGGCCAGTTAAAGTGAAAGTATTTTTGGTTGATTAACAGCCCAACACTCTAAATCGGCGCTCCCCAAAGCAGCCACTCGACCCACCCACCCAACCACTCACTCACTCACTCAATGGCGAGTAGCCATTCGAAAGGTCGCCAAATTCACTGATAATAATTCGACATTGCTGTTGGCAATGCTCTCAACCGAAATTGAGTATGCGTTCGAAAGAGATAACAATAGTAAAAACTGGCATTTTTGTTGTTTTGTCCACTCGAGAATAGTGGACCGGAAGTGCCTATTTGTAAGTGGAATTTCCTGCAGCAGACAATTGTTAGCCTAATAAAATGCATTTCAAGCAGCGAACTATGTGCTCAAAATCTGACAGATAAAAATGAAATTTCAACAGATTGATATTCAAAATTGAGGCCATTTTCATAAAATAAACTCGAATATAATTTGGGCCTAGCATAGAATAAACAAACTATTATGGAAAATACATTCCGTCAAGAACAGCTTTAACTAAAAAAAAACACAACAATTATTACTAAGCCAAACAATTTTAAAACATATTCTTATGAATTTTGTGTTTCACAGTTTTAATTTTGAATTCGATTTATGACGCCGTAGATTGATTTTCTATATAAATGATTCTAATAAAACACGTTTCTGTGCATATGCAATACGACTCAAGATAATCAAAACTCAAAACGTGACTGTCTGTTGTGTGATATGTGGAAGAAGTGTCAGAGCGTTATCTGAGTAGCTCCACTGTAGAATCAAAATCAAAATGTTGTCAAAGCTACATTTACATGTGGACTTGCATGACAAATTCAAATTCAAAGCCAGCTTCTGCAATCCAATACCAAAGTCAACAAAGCTATAAAAACAAAGCAAAAGCCATTAAGCTGCAGCAGTCAGCGAAACTCAATAATATGGAGAAGAAGCAAACTCTAAGTATTATCATCTGCACTCTGATAGCCTTTGGCAGTGCGATGCCAGTGGATGTGCCACTTTATAAGCAACTGGGGTAAGATCAAGGTTCACACATCTCTTTTGTGGTCGACTTTAACTGTCAACTCTTTACTGAAACAGGTACAAGAAGCCATCAGGGACCAATTCCAGTGGCTACAACAATAACGTAGTGACAAGCACAAATCGGCTGGGCGGAACAACGATAATGACAACGACGACGCCAACTCCACAATTTGAGTATGCTCTGTTGGGTCAGGATCCGAAGGATCAGCACTGGTATCGTGTCAGCCTAACGCCGACAGACAACAAGTCTGGTTATCGTGCTCAGTTTGCCACAAGGAGATCGCCACCATACGATGCAGAGCAGGCACACAAGCATGATAAGACCATTAAGGAGCTGCTTAATTTCTTAGAGAATTCCGAGGAGCACAATCTGCTAAAGGTCTACGGGCAAATCTTGGACAGCGAGGACTACAACGATCAGAACGCAAAGGAGAAGCGCAATGGGGAGAAATTCGAAATCGATGTTGGTAACGATTTGGACATAAAGACGGTTTCGAAAACCGATGGAAATCGACCTTTAGCTTTAGCGGGCGAGCTGACAGTGGCCACGCCTCCTACTAATAGCCAAAATGGCAGCGATTCGACAATGTTTAAGAATTTTGTTTACTTCATAAAGGGTTTGAAATGAGTGCACAATAATTCGGTCTCAATAATAATAACACCAGTTATTAAAAAAGCGAATAAGAATAAGTAAGCACTAAATATATTTTATATAACAAACAATGTATTGTAATTTGAATGTCAAAAGCATGATTTAAAAGCTTTAATATTAAACAAAAATATTTATTATTTATGTCATTTCAAACTCTACTTGACCTAGAAACAACATATTTCAATTATAAAAAAGAGGTCATCAAATAATAAACAAGACAACGTTCGTAACTTAATTATTTCCTTTTCTCATCGATTTGTTGTCCTATTTTTTCTTATATTAAAATTTTTCTTTATAATATTTGCTTGGAATGCAAACTTTAAACTTTGCCTAGCTAAACAATATGAAACTATTTTTAAATATATAAAAATCCCTTCATCACTAGCAAAGCGAAATTGAATATGTATTAATAAAAACAAAGCAAATGTGAAAGTTATTTAGCAGTGCAAAATATGAAGCACTAAAAAACGCTGAGTTGGTCAACAACACAACTTGGTCAATGCTTGCCGCTGCAGTTTTATGCAACAACTGGTGGCCCTATATAAAGCCCGCCGTGAGCTGCATTCAATACCGCAGTTCGCTTTAAGCCAAGTTCAGTTGACCTACCAAACCAAACCAAACCAAGCAATATGAAATTCTTTGTGATTGTCGCCGTTGCCTGCCTGCTGGTTGCTTCCGTTGCTGCCGATAAGGACGATAAGATGTTGGGCTCCTCCTATGGAGCTGCACCAGCAGCACCTTCCTACTCTGCACCAGCTGCACCTTCCTACTCTGCACCAGCACCAGCGCCAGTCTCCATTCCCGCGCCACCGTGCCCAAAGAACTATCTGTTCAGCTGCCAGCCCAACTTGGCCCCAGTGCCATGCAGTCCCCCAGCTCCAAGCTATGGATCTGCCGGTGCCTATTCCCAATACGCTCCCGTCTACGCCGCCCGCCCCCTACATTGGTAAAGAGTTGCATCTCTGAACATATCTGAACATACAAAAACGAAACATACATAATAAAAAAAGAAACAACCGCAATAAGAATTAAACGTTTTTTATTTTGGACTTTTTGAGTACTCAAGTCGAGGATTAGGGCCTAGACTTATATTAGTAAGGATTTATATTCGGTTTGATTTGATATTTATGTATAAAAAAAAACCTGCTTACTTTCAAACTTGATCAAAAAAAACAGTTTGGAATTCGATAATTATTCCGTATGAAAAGTTTCCCAGACAACTCAAATTTCAGTTTAAATTGATTTTTAAAAATTGGAACAAGTCTTAATGTCAAGTGATATTTGTATATTTAGAATAATTAGCTATTTATTGTCAACTTTTATTAGCAACGACTTTAATGCCCAAAATACATTAAACACATCCAGTTTCAATAGATCAGTATAATTATTATATGTATATATATATTTTTGTAAAAACGTTAACAAACTTTATGACTTAAATGTATAAATTTGATGCTGTACGAAACAGCAGAAGCACATGGTATCATATCATATTAGAAATATCTCAGGGGGTGATAGTTTTAGATAGAAAAACAAAATGGAACAATGTGGAATGAGTTCAAAAGTACAGTGACATGTGAAAAATTGTCGGTGCAGTGAAAAAAAAACTGAATGGAACACTAAACGTGAACAATTTTTCGAAAGTAGCTGAAAAATTGCCGTTAGCTATTGCTCAGTAATCGTCGTCATCGTCGTCGTTCTCCTCGTCGGGTTCGTTCTGGACATCATCATAGAAACGGGCCGCCTGCAGCTGTTTGCGTATGGCACCCACTTGAGTCAATATTTTGGGTGACGATGTGGACACCATAAACTTTTGGACAGCGGGCACCTGAGGTAGATAAAAATAAAATTTAATAGCAAATAATCAATTATAACAACTAGTCGATGCAATACCTCCCAGCGCTTCTTGAGATTATCCATTTTACGATGTCGAGTCTCGGCGGGCGTTGCAGCCGTCTCCTTGCGCGTCATCTTAGGCATTTCGCGCAGCAGCGGCATGGATAAATTCGGTGTAGGCGTCTCGTTCAGCACCACATCGCGCCTGCTCAGGGATTGAGGAGTTGTCTGTGTGCCGCGATGCCGTGATTCACTTTTACTGCGCAGCTGCTGCTGCTGCTTGGAAGCCAGATCGCCGTAGTTTTTGAGATAACGCGACAGCCGCTGATCCGTTTGGCGACGCACACGCTCCATGGCCTGCTCATCGGCACTGTCCAGCTCGAAACTGTTGTTCGCGCTGCCAGACACGGTGGGCAATTGATCCACCAGTAGCGATGGCTTCACTGGCGTGGCCTTGAACGCCGTATGGAACACCGAACTGGGTGGTATATTGAAGGAGTAAGGCGGCGGCGAGTTATCAGCCTGATTAGGGGCAGTCGTTTCGGCAGCATAATTTAATTCAAGCACACGGAAAGCATCGTCCGATTGCGGTTGATCTCGTTCCGCCTGCTCGTTGATGTGTGTGCGTTCCGTATCTCGGCCACAGGCAATCTCTTCCAGGCAAGAAGAGCACAGATTTCGACGACAGCTCATGCACACATTACGCTCCCGCTGGCAGGCGCGACACACATCTCTCTTCTCCAGACACTGGCTGCACAGGGCATAGAGGCGTTCGCATTTCAGACAGACCAGTGCATAACTATTCTGGCAATTGTGATCCACTGCATCCGCTGGCTCCATCTCGCTATCAGCAGCAGCAGCACCACCACTAGTAGAGTCAGCCGTTTCTTCGCTGCTCTGCTGCTTCATTTTCAGTGCCAATTTGCGCTGGCAGCGCAGACAGCAGCTCTCGTAGTTCTTTAGCGGCTCATCGCACAGCGGACAAATCTTCTCGCTCAAATGGAAGCACTCTCGTTCGATCTTTCCTAGTTGGGGCAGCTCGAAATCCAGCTCAACGCCAGACGGCAAGGGCTGTCCGCGTCTATATTCGTGCCGAGCCGAATTGCTAAAGTATTTGTAAACCTTGTTGGTATTTGTAGTGTTGTTGTTGATGTTGCTATTGTTGTTGTTGTTGCTGTTTGGGTTGCCATTGATATCCTTGGATTTAGTTCTACTCTGCGCTGCTGCTAGATTGTTGTGCTGCTCCTTGGCTTTCAACAGCTGCGCATCCTGCTCCAGCTTGGCCAGAAGCTCTTCGCGCATCAGACGATTTTGTTCCGATTGAATGCGTGCCTATTAAAGCATTTTCATTGAAAATGTTACACTTATTAACAGTGAATTTTATGAATATTAATTTAGTTATACTGACCTTTTCGGCGCGTCGTCGCTCTTTCTCCAGTTGCTCCTCGAGATGCATCGTCTTGAGCTGTGCCTCTAACCGCCTGTTTACGGCAATTAAATAATTATTGAACTCATTTATTGATATGTGACTAGTTAAGACTCACCTGGTCAGGGCCTCATCCTGTCGGCGCTCCTTGTCGCGTATTAATTCTATGGAGCGTCGCTTCTCCTCAATCTGTTGCATCAAGTCCCGCTGATAGTCCTTTTTGCGTGCCGTTTCCAGTTCGGCACTGCGCATATTACGTTCCATGATGCCATCGCCGGTGACTATATTGGAGAGCTCGACGTGACCCAGATCTTGCAGCAGCTGATGGCGTGTGGTGTTCGGTCGTATTTTGGGCGGCACGTAGTTGGGATTACTATTTACAATTAACTCTAGGTCAGTCTTATCCGTTCGGCTATTGGATGTGCTCGTGCTCGATTGGCTCGAGCGCGCCGTTTGCAGCTCCTCTGCTGCTGGCGGCTGCGGCGCTGCCGCTGCCGCTGGTGATGGCTTTAGGTGACGTCGCTGCTTTGCCACAGGCGGATGCAGCATCTGCAACGCAAACAGCAAAAATAAATCAATTCAATTAATTGCTGGTTATAAATTGTACACTAATTACCATAACGGATGGCGATATGGTGGTTTATGTGTGTATGGTTTTATGCCACTTTACCTGGTGCTTGAGAAAGTTCTGCTGATTCTCGCGCTGGCGCTCACGCAAATAATTTTGACGTTTCTGATTTTCATTGTTAAAGCCGGGAAAATATGAATAAAATGTGTCCGTAACCCATTGCTCCATATCATCCTGTTGAGTGTGAGTGAAAGAAAATAATAATAACGTCGAGTTAGTATTTCGATTATTATATTTTTGTGTGTTATATTCGGTTTTTGCTTCTCGTTTTTTTTTTTTTTTTGGTGACACTAACCACCAACAGGAAGCTCGTATACATTTTGTGCCGTGCCCCTTAAGCGAGGAGGCGTGTGGCAACTAGGGGTAAACTGAGGCAACAAATTATAGCCCAGGCGACGTTTCTTTCCTTTTGAGGTCACAGCCTATAGCCAGCGACTGGAGCTGCTCCAGCGAGGGCTTCACACTGCATACTGCCACTCTTTTGCCACATAATTTTATATGCCGGCAACGCTGACGTCGACGTCGCAAATCGCGTGCGGCGTCGGCATCAAAATTTATATAGAAATCAGGTAAGATTTCTAGCATAAAAATTAGATTGACTTCAGATATCCTGGACCTTCTTATCTATAATTAATCAATTGGGTTAAGTAAACTACATTTTGAAGAGTTCAATGACCAACAGAAAGGGAACGAGTTGAAGCAAAGTAAAGGTTTAGGCAACTCTTTAAAGCATTAGATAGGAAGCATAACTTGTTACCACATATCATAAATGTTATACGCTCCTTGTACAATATTTGTTACAGGGTAAACATAATACAAATAGCGTTATGAGCAAGGACGGAGTAACAGCAACAGCAACAGCAGCAACAACAACAACAACAACTGCGTCATCGTCACAAGTCAAAGACGTTTCCAATGGCAGTTTATCAACAAGGCCCAGCTGTTCGGAGCTGCTTCTGAGCGGTTCGAGGCCCAGACTCGGTTTTGTGCCGAGCAGCGAGTACTACAATTTATTAGGTGCATTCATTTCACTCGACTTGACTTAATTTAGTCTTGATGTTCGCCTTAATTAAAGTTCGTTTTAACAATTTCATCACTTGACAGGCACAATTTCTGCAAGTTGATTAAATACTTTAGCTCTCAGCATAATTAAAGGCCAATTTGCCGCAAAGAGTTGTGTAAATAACTATATACATTGATATATATATATATATTTGTGTGTATCTACAAATGGTAAGTGCCAGCTGATGTTATTTGTCTGGCATTTCGTCAACACTCCACAAATAATTTGCATACTCTCGCACATTGTTATTCAGGTCAAGGAAACTATCAACGAAAATAGGTATATATATAATATGCATGTGTATATGAAGTGAAGCACACTGAACGCTCTGCGAATTGCTTGGAGTAAACAAATAAATAGTCCAAGCGTCTCGTCTTGGGTTGGGCTTCAATAGTATTCATAGTATATTTAGGTGCGTTGATCTAAAATAGCTAAGTGCCCGCACAGTGGGGCCAAAAAGCAGTTAAATGTTAAGTTAAGAATAAGTCTACTGAAAGTTTAATACGAGTAGCTAAAGGAATTCATTAACAAATAGTAAAACAGTTGACAGAACTGTCTCCGAAACATTAACTTATCCTTAAATAATTTTTCTATAACTTATGCATGCCTCTTAAATGCCTGCCTTAGATTACTTAAATATTATTGAATGTTTGCATTCCTTTTCATAAATTGATGCGTCAACTACTTTGAAAACCGACTTTTCAGTTCAGTCAACATTTACCCACTTTAAGAAGCCTGAGAAATTCCATTATGCGTTATCAAAGTTTTACTATTTCCATTCATTAGGGCCACCATTTGCGTGCCTCATTCGAATTAGGTTAACTAAGTGGTAAACTGGTTTTACTGAGCGCGAAAAGTGCGCGAAAAGTGCGCGAAAAGCTAATGAAAAATGCGTGCAAAAGCAGAGCAACGGGTCAAAAACTTCAACAAGAAAAAGACACTCTATGTGGGTGTTAAGTAAATTTATGCTAACGCATTGCAACGCCATAAGTTCAAGGCCGTGTAATTGAGTTTCAGGCAAGTGAATATGCCGTCACATGTGGCATATGTAAATTACACGTATGCAAAACCAAAAACACGAAAGCTTTTAGTGTCACGCTTTTCAAATTAATTTTAACTGCCGACTGAGCGACAAAAATCTAAATCAAAAGATAGACTAATAATACCAATTCGTAAAAAACAACAATGCTGGCCAATTAATTACAGGCTTTGATATTATCTGACCTGAACTGACCTTGTATACAGGTTGCGTCCCTGTTTTCTGTTACTTCCTTGGCTCTAATGACTTAAGTGGCCTGGCCACAAAGGATTGTGAAAACTATCGATGAAGGTGGCCAAGTTGTCAATCATCCACCTACAAAATTCTCATTAGCTATTAAGTAAGAAAAGCTTCCGCGGAAATGACCAGGCACTAAACACTCCCCGCACCCGGCAAGCGGCAGCCAGAGGAAGTCTCGTGCCACATGAAAATGGCACAATGCACTTTGCTGACGGAAATTGCATGACCAACGCTTTCGGTTTTCATGCACTGGCCATAAAAAACAAAAAATACTTGCTAAAAAATGCAAAATTGTTGGGGTTAAAAAAAAAACCATATCGCCGGAAAAAAATCATATTTGACCAAAAGAAAGGGCGAGGACATATTTGATACTCTTTGCCAGATCTAAGGCATGCTTTCATTCTCAACTCTTAACCACAATCTATACTAGCAAGTCTGTTATTTCAAAGTCTAAAAGGAAACCAAAAAAAAAAGGTGGTTATTATGATGTAGATTTTAATAACCCACGAAAGAACTGTGTGTCGGCATTGGCTGATTGCATCACTCTACAAATGATGAAGTAGATTTTAATAACCCAATTACAAAATGAAAGAATTGTATCGATATTGGTTGATGGCATCATTTTCAAAATTAGATATGCTATAAGCAAAAAATACCTAACGGCACATGACATTTTCAAATTTACAAATATATAAGCATATATATATTTTTTTATTCCTTTTAAAAATATTCTTTTAGTCGCAACTAGAGTTGAGGTATCCAATTAGTTTGTCACTGAGAAAAAGTTTACATTTAATATATGTGAACATGAAGAGTATTCAATTCTAGGTGTTAGCCAACTGGTAAAAGCACAGCAATTTTTAGCGTCATGTGTTAATTTTGGTCGATTTGTTTGCTTGCATTTTTCACTCTCCGGCATTTTGCATATTTTGCACACAGTAAAAATGTACGAGGTTTGGCCAACGTCAGAAGTTTTAATTTTAGCTTCACTTTGCTTTAATTAAATCAATTAAATTTCACTATTATTTTGTTGTTTTTTTTGTTTGTTCCGGGTTTTTTTTCTATTTTAATTAAAGACAAATTGTCGGGTCATGCCTATCCGCTCACCTATATATGTATTGTAATGCGTAATTGGTATTTCGTATTCTGTGGTAAAAATTTCAAGTTCAGGCCAAAACAAAAGCAGCGAACGCAACAAACGGGCTTCAAATTACAACTGAGCAGCAAAAGCGAAATTCATTAAATGAAATGGACGCAAATGCAGAGCCAAAATGCTAACTGGAGCACGAAGAACAACGGCAACAGCAGCAACAACAGCAAGAACAACAACAGCAACAGCAACAACAATAAAACCAAAATATAAAAATGGTAACAACCGCGTGAAGGGCATAAGTGATTCATGTGCCCCATCGATGGCAACTTTCAAACTTGACAAAAGAATTATTAAATAATTAATATTATTGCCTTGTGTGAAAAGCAGTACACCCTCGATCCGTTGGCTCATTTTCAAATTATATATATATATATATATTGGTTTGCACTCACACGTAAGAATGGACAATTATTGACAAAGTGCGCGCCACAAGCGCAAACAGCGTCAATTAAAAACGGATAAGTGAAATGTGAAAAGCGAAAGGGTCAACAGAGCATTCTTGAAACTTTGAACTTTTAACTATGAGAATTCATATTATTTTTAAATTTGATTTTACTTAAGAAAAAACTTTGAACTAACTTTTTGAGTGTGTATCTTTTTTAATTATTGGTTTTATTTAAAAAAAAAAGTTTAAATATACAATTAAAATTAATTTTTTGTTAAATTTAGTATTCCCTTACCGAAGGAGAAAGCAGCAATTCGAACACTAAGAAAAGCTGTGAATAACTAAAGTTAAGTTTTTAGTTGTTTTTCTTATTTTTTTAACAGCTGGTCGAGAAACACGGTACGCATTGAGTGGCCTAACGAGCCGTAAAGAAATTGGCACAGTTATGGCAAATATCGGGAATGATTTTTTGGGCGTTGCGCCAATCGAGCGTGAACATCTAAATTGCAAGCATGTGGGTGCCACACCCCAATCCCAGCCACCCTGTCAGCAGCTTACTATTTACTTACCGCCTTTTTGTGCTTCTCAATTGGCAAACGATTCTCGCTTTGCGGCCGACGTTCGCTTTCCAAATTGCGATACGACGCATTTGGCGATTTATATTGTCGCGCACTTCCAATGAGCAATTCGCGCTGATTCACAAATTCCTTGGCCGATTTTAGCAGCGATGTGCTCGCAATCTCATCTGCCCCACGCTCCTCTTGCTCTGCAGCCAGCTCCACACTCAGCTCCAGTGGCAGAGGCAGCTCAGAGTTTGGGCTTGCGGTTGCTAAGGTTGGGGACGAGGCTATTGCGGGTTCATTGCACTCGCTGCTTGTGTTGGCCGCCGTGCGCTGACATTGCCCGGGCACAAAATCCTCCATTTGCATTAATAAGGCAGCAGGACAAGTTCCTTGAGCATTGCTTTTATTTTCCAGTGCTGCGTTAAGCCGCTGGCGGTCTTTTTCCAGCTGCTTGCGTTCCAGCGATAAAAATTCCTGCAGATCCATGTTTGTTGTTTGACCTGCCAGAATAGTCAACAAGAACAGTTAATTCTTATTCTAGCTCTAATTACATTTCCAATGCTTCCAAAATTAAGACACTTGTTGAATTGATAATTCTTGTGAAAACTGGTAAATTATAAATATATGCGCATTGGACATGCCTAATGCTTACTTTGTTCTCGAACAATAGCATATTTTATATCTCACTAATATTGCCTTTTCGCGCTGTTTGGCAAGCCAAAAATGTCAGCACTGGCTGCAGTGCTACAACGGTAAACTAATTTACATATTCCTCACATACAACGCGCCGATTCGCACTAGTTCCGAGTCAGTTACGACAACTGCGCGAACCATACTCGTCTTAAACTACTACACACAATTGAATAATATTATTAATCAAGCACTAAAACATAAATTTCGAAATTCTTTAACATTCTGCGCGCTTATTTGTGATGCTACGCGGCGAAACGAGGGCTGCAAACTGAGCGCCCCAATTACAACAGTGCTGGAAAACGTTACAAAACTAGCCAGCTGGTCATACTGCAATGCAGCCCTGCTAGCTAATGTATATATTTTTAATGTATTTTTTTATAAAAGCAGGCTATAATAACTTGCCATATATGTTATATTTACACTCCATGTAAGCATAAATTGTTATATTTAAATATCAAAAAAAGACTTACGGGTATATACAACAAAAATACATCTTGCTATATTTAATAACCCTCACAAATATGTCAGCTCGTAAGAAATGACTGAAATCAAGAGGATCGTAGAACCGCATGAAGCAAAAATACCCTGGTACCATCATATATACAACACAATTAAGGATGCGCCAGTCAACATAAGTTCTCTGCTAGTATCGTCCTTAATTTTCTATAAAATCGAAAAAATAAATCGTCAGCACAGGGAAAAACATTCATCGTCGGACCATTTGGAGCGTGACGAAGAAGCGCACAAGATTACGGACCATAACGAACAATCTAAAATGTAACTGATATTCAAAAATAAAATTTATGAAAACCGAAAAGTATTAAACGAAATTTGAATTTGTGAACAACACTGCAAATTCACAACTTTAGTCGCAGTTTAACAACACTGAAAACCAGCTGTTTGTTTGTGACAGCGGCTGTCAAACAGTGCGTCTATTTCCGTTTCTTTTCACTTTTGACCAGCAAGATGAAGTACGTAAAAATAAATAAATTTAGAAAAATGTCAAACATCACTGTGCGAACGCAATTATATCATATATTATGATGCAATTGACGGTGTTCATTGTTTGTATGCTATGTTATTTTGTATGCCAACTCTAAAAAACAATACGTTTTCATTGCAGAATCGGTTTGTGTGCATTCAGTGGGTATAAAATTTACCCCGGCCATGGCAAGACCATGGTCAAAATCGATGGCAAGGTAATGTGAATGTAAACAAAGATTGGAATATGAACTGTCAGCTAATTGAATACTTATTTTAATTGTATTGTAGACCTTCACCTTCCTGGACAAGAAGTGCGAGCGCTCCTACCTGATGAAGCGCAATCCCCGCAAGGTGACCTGGACGGTGCTGTACCGTCGCAAGCATCGCAAGGGCATCGAGGAGGAAGCGTCCAAGAAGCGTACGCGCCGCACACAGAAATTCCAGCGCGCCATTGTTGGTGCCTCCCTCGCCGAAATCATGGCCAAGCGCAACATGAAGCCGGAGGTGCGCAAGGCGCAACGCGATCAGGCCATCAAAGTAGCCAAGGAACAGAAGCGCGCAACCAAGGCAGCCAAGAAGGCCGCCGCCCCAGCACCCGCCAAGAAGTCCGCGCCCAAGCAGAAGGCCACCAAGGTTACGCAAAAGGCCGCTCCTCGCGTCGGTGGCAAGCGGTAAACCATAAACAACAATCACCAAGCGCGTTGTGCGAAAGTTTTGTTTTGCGGTTTCTACAACAACAACCAACAACAATGATTTAAATTATAGTGAAAAACTTCTTTAAAAAAAAAAAAGAAAGCTACGAATGCAAATTCGTAGTGCTAAAAAAAATATCGCCGCTGTTTTGTTTTTAACGGGTGCGCAGAATAAACGCTAGATTATATCCTCAGTAAACAATATCATGAAAGTGAAGTACAACAACAAATAATGAAAATAGACAAATGGCTAACTGGAATCCTGGTCACAGAGAGCAGCCTCTGTCACAGCCTTAACCCGTTGGAAATTACAGTCGATGGTGAAATCGCACGGCCCTCGTAGAATCTTGTTATATCTTTTAACCAGTTGTAGCGAAACTTCAGTATACAAATATTAATTATATTGAAGTTTACTATGTTACTCGACTGTATATGTTAATTGAGCAATCTATATATATTTTATAGGGATTTCTTAAGAAATTCCCACTTTAAAAGTTTTAATAGATGAGCTAAGCAAAAGTTTCTTGAAAATGACAAACATAGCAGAATCAAGTACAAAGGAGGCAACCTCCTGTATAGCGTATATATTTCTATTCAACTCTGGCGTGGCTAGCATTTATAATTAGCGCAGCTTAAATAAATTCCGAGTTGTATTTCTTAACGCCCACAAAGTTGGTGAAATTTTCGATTGCATCCGCATGGACTTTAACATAGGTGAAATTGGGATCGTAGAGCACTGTGACCTGCTGCTCCCTGAACTCCTCCTCATCGCCGAAGCACTCCAAGTGCAATTTCGGCGGTTGCAACTCCATGAGGTGTATGCAATCCAGCTGACAGAGTAGTTCCAGCAGAAGCATCGTGTCGACGGGTAGCAGATGTGGAAAACGCAGGAATAAACTGTAAACAGTGCAGCCGTGGCGAGTGATGCACTCGCTCAGCACGGCGCCCATCCAGCGATCGAGGACGCGTCGATTGAGTGAGGCATTCACCCGTATCCAGGGCTGTGGCCGCATGACAATCACATCCCGTGCGGTGTCTGACTCTATTGCAGGCGGGACAACAGCTGCCGCCTCCTGCTTGGCTGCTGCACTGATGCGCTTGATGCGTTTCGAGTGACGGGCGCTGGGTTGGGGCATCAGCTCCTCATCATCATTGCTGTTGCTCTCCTGCTGCGATAGCTTTGCCTCCTTGCTGGTGCTCGGCTGCTCCTCCGCCTGCTCCTGCTCTTGCTCCACCTGCACCTGCTCCTGCTCCTGCAGCTCAGCCAGCTTGCGTTTTTGTCCGACGACCGCTGGCAGCGTTGACGGCGAGGCAGCAACCAAAGATTGGACACGCTCACGCTCCAGCCGCTTGATGTGGAACGTGTGGACCACCCAGTGGCGCATGTGCTCCCTATGCACATACATATGGCTGGCCACGCCCACACGCTTGATCAGATCATGCGCCTCCAATTCATGGAGCGCCTCCAGCAGAAAGTTGCCAAACGGAAAAGTGCGTCGCAGCTCCACGCTCTCAGCGCCCAAGGGGCGTTCATGTATATACTCCAGTATGTCCTTCACATGTTGAATGGCGCTCGCATCATAGTTGCGCTCCTGCTCCAGCGTCGGCAGCAGCGACTCAAACGTATTATCCGTATACCTCCAATAGGTGGCTCTGAGAAAAGAGAAGAGATAAAAGCTGAATGTGGGATTGGAAGCGGGAGCGGGCATAGATTGTCTTACTTGGCCACCATATCGAGCACAGCTTTGTGCAGCTCTTCTTGCTTAGCCTGCAGCGGTTGGTGCTCCGTCTGCTGCATGCTTATGGTGGGCAGATGCACCACAAACACATCCTGCGCCCGGGCACGCTCCTCCTTGTTCAGCGACGGTTCATAGTCCTGGGTGCGTTCCGTATCTTCTTTGCCCGCCTCAAAGTCCAGCAGACGATTGCACAACGTGCGCCAATCTGTGGTCTTGTGCAGAGTGCTGTCCGCCAAAGCCTTACCGAGATCCTTCTGCTCGTGTGGCTGCTGCTGCTGGCGCCAGTACGTCTCCAGTTTGTGGATGAGCGACAGCAGATTGGCTGTCGAGACGATAAGTGTGGTGCTGCTGGACGTGGAGCTGTCCAGCTGCAGCTGCAGCGGCGACTGAGGCAGTGCATCCGCGACCAGTTGACGCAACGTGGCCCGATGCTCGTAGACAATGCGTTCCACAGCGTTCACATAGTTGCCACTACGCATGATGCAGCCGAACGGGCATTCGCCGTGCTCCAAACGGGCGCAACTGATGTTGACCGACTGCCCCAGAGCATCCAGGGCGCAAAAGAGATGCATGCAACGAAGGGGCAGCTTGTTCAGCAGATTATAAGCACTGCAGGGCACCCGATATGTTAGATTGGCGGGATGGAAACGCACTCGAGCCGCCTGGCGACCACTGCAGACGCTCTCCAGCCGCTTGGCATACTCCGTTTGGGGTGCATTATCAAAGATGCTGCTATAATGATCCAGTATGCGATCCGACGAAGAGCCGCTCTGACGTGACATCGATGTCGTGTCCACCGTCAAGATATTCGCTGGCAGCTGCAGCGTTAGACTCAGGCGACGCTTCGCCACCCGTTCGGCGAGCAGCAGCAGCTGGGCAAAGTTGGGTGAAGCCAACTGGAGACTGGCGCCCACTTTCGGATCCTTGAAACGCTGGCCCAGAGCAAAATACGCATCGAAGAGTAAGTAACTATACTTTTGGAAAACCAAACGATACTTGTACTTGGAGCTAAGCAGATGTCCAGGTCCCGACACCTGACGGTTCACATGATGTATATTGCGACGTCGCACCGCCACCAGCAGCGAATCGGCGCGTGCCTTGTTGAAGGCGGCATTGAGCACATCCTCGGAGAAGTGCTTGTAGATCTCGAAGGCCTGCAGATTGAAGAGCGTCTTGTCCTTGTTGCAGCACAGTATGCTGTGCAGCACGCCAAACACCACGGTTATCTGCAGGTCTGTCTCGCTGCTGGGATTCGCATAGAGCAGCGTATCCTGTTCGACATTCAGTGGCGTGAACTCCCTAAACCGACGACGATAATCCTCCAGATTGTCGGGCAGCAAAAACTGACGATACACATTCTCCTGCAGTAAAAGAAAATATACATAATATATATCCATGTCTATCACTCCCATATTTCTCAATCCTTACCTCATTGATGATCATGCGATGCAACTTGTTCAGGATGAGCAGAAAATGAATGAGGAGCGCCTCGATTTGATCGCTGCGCACGGGATATTCCCGCTTCAGTTGCGGCAGGAAGCGCTCATTGTAGATGTCATTGAACTCCGGCTGTGCCTGCATCATATAGATCCAATTGCGCACATCTGGCTGATCACGCTTCATGCGGATGAGGAACTGCAGCCGGCGCACGCAAGCCTGCGTTGTCTTATTGTTGATGCCCAGATACTGACGGATGACATCCCGGCAGATGGTGCCCACATTGTACAGCGAGAGTGCCGGCAGTGGGGCATCGATGAACAAGTAGACAGCGCGACCCATCTTCAGCAGGCGATCCTCGGCAGCGCACCAGGTGACGCGCAGTGTGCGCATATTGCGCAACGCATCCCGATCGATGTCATCTCGGGGTCCGCCTTTGCGCTTGCGCGTATCCCCCGAGGAGTTGGGATTGCGTGTCTTGCTGAATCTTGGCACAGTCTTCAGTCGCATCAGACTGAGACGCTTGCGTACGGGAAACTGTGCGGTCGACTGGCGGGCATTGCTGGCCGTCGTCCGGGTGGCAGCCACCGAGGAGCGTTTCACCCACGACCAATGCCTGAACTGATGTGCATACAGCGATGAGCTGAGACCAGCCGCGCCCTGTTGATCACCGGGCACGCTACCATCATCCAGCGCCAATGCTTCGTCAAAGTCCACGGTGCGCACAAAGGTTAACAGCGGCAGACGCTGATCCTTGCGGCTGCCAACCTTGCGCTCGCGATGCTTGAGGAAGCCCAGCTTCGTATAGATGCAGATATTCTGCAGCTTGGCCCAATAGTCGTCGACCTGTTCGCGTGACTCAAACTCAAAGTGCAGCCGCTCGTAGCTGCGCTCCGGACTGATGCACTTGAAGTTGTGGCCACTGCTGGTGGTGGTGTCCAGCAGGCAGCTTCGTCTATTCAGGTAAATCCAACGCTGCAGAGCATCGCGCCCCAGCTGGCGCTCGCTAACCTGTAACAGACCCATGTTGTTGAGCAGACGCAGTGTGTTCAGATAGCGCTGCTGCAGATTGAGGCGTGGTATAAGATTCTGCAGCTGCAGCTGCCCCAACAGATAGTGCTGCCTCACCGGATGCTGCAGCTGCGGACGCAGCTGATCGGCTACATCGCGCTCCACGCGAAACAGACGCATCATCAGCGACAACGGCATGCGCTCCAGTGCATCAATGAAATAGAGCCAACCGGCTGGTTTATCCGCATACTGCGGCAGCGGTGGTATAAATGTGCGCCAGCTTATCTCCTGGGTGTAGGGCAGCACCTGGGACTCGCTCGCCTGCCACTCGTCGAGGAACTGGCGCGTCAACAGCGATGGCTCGCTGCGCTGCCAATGCTGCAGCAGCTCCACATTCATCTCCAGCGGCTGCTGCTGCGCCGTCTGTTCGCGCAGCAAATAGAAGAGAAACTCGTGCAACGTGCACGCAAGCAGCAGTTTGGGCGCCGTCGGCTTCGTCTTCAGGGCCGACGAGTGCAGCAATCGATCCGCCCGCAGCTTCTTGCGTGCGAGCACCTCACGGCGCTCGGTCTCGCGCAGCTGGGAAGGACGCAAGAGTCGCTCCTCGCTGAGCAGTCGGAAGTTGCTCTTCAGGCGCAACACCTCGCGCTGCAGCTGCTCGTGCTCGATGTCGATCTTGGGATGGGTGACCAGTCGGTAGATGCGCACCAGATGCTCATACTCGAGCGTCACCTCGTACGCATTGACAACGTGGACCTGCTGCATCCGCTGTAGCAGGCGGAACATCGATTTGCGACAGATCTTGCCACGCCAACCAATGTTCAGCTCCAACTGGGCAATGGCCCGCACCACATCCGTTGTGTGAACGATGCACGTCTTATCGATTTGCTGGACAATTATCTTTTTGCGCTCCAGCTGACGACGCGTCTCATTCTCCGGATTGCTGCCCATTTTCTTGGGGAACGTCATGTGGCGCACATTGGACTTTATGTTCGGCAGATCATTGACCACAATATCGATGTTTGGCGGAAAATTCTAAAAAGAAAAACCACAAAGTGAGTAATACCGTGACAAAAATACAAATAAATTGCAGGTTTTGAGTTTAAATAACAGTTTAAATAAATCAATTAAATTTTCTGGATTGAAAACAAACAGAATTCTTTTAATTTCGCAGTGAGATAATTTTCGAGTTTATCGAACAACTCAAAAAATCAATTCAATTTTCAATTTCAATTATCAATTCAATTGCATTGTTTCAATTTCGATTCAAGCTTAATTTAAAGTCAAGCTCAATTAGATTATAGATTATCACAAATAGCAGATTCTAATTGAAATCTTCAACTTACCAGTTCCTCCTTGCACTGTAGTTTCTGTTCGATCTTCTCGCCCTGCTCGGATTTCGGATCGCCATCTGTCGCCGCTGTTGGTAATCCAATTGCCACGTGGCGAATGATACGCGTTTTGCCCACCGTATCCGTATATTTATAGATCTTCTTTCTGGCCAGCAGATGCTTGATGACACCGCGTGCCAGCTGGACATTGATGCAGGTATATTGGGACAGTTCTACGGTGCTCATGCCGCGCTCGCCGAACCGCTTGATGGCTCGCAGGCTTTCCAGTTCGATGGGCATGCTGATGTGGGCGTGACGATGGTTCAGAAAGTCATCCGACGGTTGTTTGTCGTCTTTGTCATCATTGGCGTTCACTTGGGTGAGCTCATCGAACTTTGTGTCGGAATTGCGCAGACGAATCACTGATATTCGGCGACCCTTCTGCTGATCCTTGGACGTGCCGCTGCCAGCAGGCGGTGACGGATGCACCAGTGACGTCTCAAAGAACTTGCGAAAGTTGTGCGAGAGGATCAGCTTCTTCAGTCTCGACGAGGTGAGTCCCTTCACCCGCTGCTGTACATCATTGGTGGGCACATACTGTTCCGGGCTTGCCTTCACCTCGACATACACCCGCTCGATGACGCGTTGCACGTGACTCTTGTAGATGCGATGGAAGCGCGGCAACATCACCAGCAACGACAACAGGGTGCGTCCATTGTGACGCTCCGTATACGGCTGACTGAACACTATGTTCATCTTCATGAATTTATTTCTGGAAACGATTGAGTTTTATTTATATTTAAATCATTCTTATATTTCAGCTACATTTACTTACTTGGTGTAGAATAGAAAGCAGGAATCCTTAAAGTAATTGGTCATTGACCAGGGACCCCTCGTTGTTTCGCCATTGTAGCGGGAGCGTCCAATGCATTCCCAGAAAATGTACTGCTGCACAGACAGCTCCCGGGGCTTCAGCAAATTCGGTGGCTTCAGCGCTTTTAGACGTTCATCCTGGCTGGCAACTACGACTAGTGTTTGATTCCACCGTTCGATGGCCTCTGCAACACTCATTTCGCGTAGCATTTTCACGTGGATGGGCTTGCGTTTCTTGTAGTCGGAACAGTTGCCCATAATGGGACCATCCTTGACGGGCGCATAAGGCAAACGAAGAAAGGGGCAGGTCTCGGGCACCACAGGAATGCCCAGTTCTGGATCCTCGTCGTTGATGCGATTATAGGGTGGCATCAGAGGACGTGCCTCGGGCAGCTCATAGAACTTCACCTTGTCCGTGGAGCGCAGCAGCAGAGTCCATACCTGTTGCTGCAACGTCTCCGACAGCGGTTGGCCGCATTGTAATCGGTCGGCCAGCAAGGACCAAAGATCTAAGATAATAATTCAATTCAATTTAGTTATATTTATATAAACTTTTTTTTTAAATTTTTAATACGATATTTTCTCAATGTGCGTATACTGCTTGCACACACTATGCACACAGCCACAGTACGAATATTGTCTACACTTCGCTACATTTACTAACTTGGCAGCGTGGTGCCTTCCAGGCCTTCCAGCGCAATTTCATCCAGTACGGCGCTAATCCAGGAGCCACCTGAGTAAGCAGAACACATTTCGTTGCTTGTCCGTCAACGAGTTTATTATTATTTTTTGTTTACTTCGCTTAACAATTTCATTTATCGCTCTGCGTCTCCTGAACAGCTGTGCCGAACAGTGCTGTAAGGCGTCGTGGCATTTTGTGCTAGAACGAGACAACTCTACTGTCCGAGAGCAACTGTCAAAACGCAGCTGCTGCAAACAAACGCCGATGCCGCTGTCATTTCTACCGCTCTTTTGCGAGGTTAAAACAAACTTGCCGCTCGCAAAAAAAGTACAGTGCTAACAGATTCGATATTTAATTTATAAAAAGAATACACATTTAAAAAGAGTAAAACAGGGCAATGGATAGCTTCAGTTTCGCCAGCATGTCCGCACAGGTTAGCGAGGAGCAGTGCATTTCATTTCAGGATAAAGCTGAAACTTGGGACGATGCCGAGCAAGGTAAGCAAAATGCAAGCGAAATTGAATAAAAAATCTTGATTCACACTGATTTTCCATAATTGCAGTCAAGGCTGTTGTGGATGCCCTGAACGGGGCGACGACAGTGCACGCCCTCAATCTCGATGGCAACACGCTTGGCGTGGAGGCAGCACAAGCCATTGGCGAAGCCCTGAAACGGCATCCGGAGTTTCGCAAGGCGCTGTGGAAGAATCTATTTACGCGACGCCTCAAGTCCGAAATACCGTTGGCACTGAAACATCTCGGCGCTGGCCTGATAGCTGCTGGTGCCAAGCTGACTGTACTCGATCTCAGTGATAATGCTCTGGGTCCCAATGGCATGACAGGATTGGAGGAGTTCCTACGCTCACCCGTCTGCTACTCATTGCAGGAGCTCTATCTGAACAACTGCGGCTTGGGTCCCGAGGGTGGACGTATGCTGTCCGTGGCGCTGATCGATCTGTACGAGAATGCCAAGGCAGCGGGCAAACCACTACAACTGCGTATCTTTGTCGCCGGCCGCAATCGGCTGGAGAATGAAGGTGCCAAGGCATTGTCGAAGACATTCAAACGTTTGCAAACCTTGGAGGAGATAACCATGCCACAGAATTCCATTTACCATGTGGGCGTCGCCGATCTGGCCGAGAGCTTCAAACTTAATCCTCATCTGCGCGTCCTCAACATGAACGACAACACGCTGACCATCAAAGGCGCCAGCAAAATAGCCGATGTCTTTGTCCACACGCCGCTGTAAGTGCATAATTTTAACACGTTATTTTATTTTTGTTAAATCAATCTTCTCGTGCAGCTTGCGGGAAATCAATTTTGGGGATTGCTTGCTGAAAACTGATGGCGCCTATCTCTTTGCCGAGGCTCTTGAGAAAAATCATGAACATCTGGAGGTGCTCGATATGGGCTTCAACGATATCAACTACGATGGTGGCCTGGTGTTGGTGACAGCCATGCAGAACAAGCCCAAGTTGCGCTCATTAAATTTAGACGGCAATTGCTTTGGTCATAGCGGTGTCGCACAGATCATTGCCGAAATTACCAAATTCAGGAATCCAGCGGCATTGCAGTCCATGGACGAGGTTGTGTCTGAAGAGGAGGACGAGCCAAGCGGTGGTGAGGATGATGATGACCAGACCGTCGAAAACACGGACGATGAATATGCCGAAGATGAGGAGGATGATGGCGAATACGATCCGAATGATACAACCGAGGAGGTAGACGAAGAAGATGACGAATATGGCAACGAAAATGCCGCCGAGGAGACAGCTTACGTGACAACCAATCCCTTTCCGACCAAAGTACGTTTGACGTTTGGCCTTAATGATTTTTAGTTAGCCGTCTTCATCTATGTATTGTTTTAATCAATTTTGATGATAGCAACAACGGACAAAATTTGATCATTTGAATTGTTCACATTTGATAAATTTTAATTATCCGTATATTTCCTTTTTCGCAGCTATTGGACGACACCGTCAACTCCAACCTGGACATGAACACTTTGAACATAGCCAGCAATGAGGACAAGTCGACGACGAACAATAAGTGCACCACAGCTGAATTCTGCCTGAGCCAAAAGCCGTGCACGCTGCAGCAATTCGATTCTCTCGAGGCGGAAAACAAGCTGCAGGCGCTGCAGAGCATCATCAATGTACGTATTTGAAACCCAAAGAAACCCTCAAATATACAATAACAACACGAAATTCTATTCGGATTACAGCTATTCAGCGAAGATAATCACTTGCTGCTGCTCATCTTTACAACGCTTAAGTGTGCGCATCTGTCAAAAACATCTAAGGCGGCTCTGGATCTGTCCGTTTCACTGCTTCAGTCCACCTTCGAGTATGCCATCAAGACGCAGCAGGAGTCGCGAGTGCTGGACTACTACCTCAAGCAGCTGGGCCTGCTGCGCAGCGAGGAGCACTTCAAGTCCGACTACGATGTGAAGAGCTGTCGCTACGCTCTGCGCGAGGCGCTCTCCAAGCAGCAGTTCGCCAATGATAATATTAAAAATACCTTTCAAATATTCCTCGATCAGCTCGATGTTTAATGTTTCATATTTGAGCATTCAATTCAACTGTGATGCGATACATTTATAATATGCACACGGTTAAAAAAATATACGCGAATGTTTCAATAAATAAAATTACAGTACAAACTTAAAATAAACTTTTGATTGAGGAAAATGCGGAAATCAAATGATTTTTGGCAATGACTGTGCAATTTTTCACAATGAATGCACTTAGTCCGATTGATCTACTAGAAGATACCCTGTTCTTAAATCTTTGCCGAGTGCAAGTTAAAATTAAATATGCGAAGATTAAATACACTTGTAGACCACACACTCTCCTGCTCACATCAAAAATTGTTAATTAAATCATTACATTTTATAGTCGTCCGATGCATATTAAATGTTCAAAAATACAATCGAGTTGAAAAATTGGTATATGTAAGTGATATTCAGATATTTTATTTGACTTTATAGAATTTCTGCAATGCCCAATTAGCACAAGTTTATAAAGAATAGTTGAATAAGTACAATTGGTGTAAAGCTTAAACAATTCCTACTGAAACCAAAAACATATTTTCCTCATATTCACCATTGATATAGTTTGTAGATTAAAAACAAGATGATTACGTTAAATAAATTTATTTACATGAAAAATAAAACGTAATTGTGTGAGACCTACAAACTATGCTATAAAACATGATATTTTGGTAGACTTTAGTGTGTTCTATTGTATATGTGGCTTGTGGACAATCTTTGTTAAAATCTACAATTACAGAATGTTGCGAAGTTGTTATACAATATGATTAAAATATTAATGTTTGCCTATCTTTCTCTTTTCTTTTTTGCTGTTTCGATAAATGGAGTTGTTACAGACAATTTCAATGCTAAAAACTGATCGTTTTGGTTATATATAATGATTATATTCCATTTGACTGTGTGAGTGTGTGTGTTTTAACTAGTCTTAAGTAGTTGCCGTTGGGCAAATTGGTATATTAGAAATACTTTTCACTTAATTAATAAGGAATATAACCTTAAATACAATTTGTATTCATTGCTTGGTTTCTTCCGTTTGCTTGCATTCGTTCTTTTTGGTAAAAAATTTGAAATAATTTACCACGATGTAGATCAGCATCGCGATGACGACGACAATTGGATGCATATGAGAACATCAGTAATATATATATATATATTAATGCCTAGGTGGGTGTCGTGTAGCTTAAACCTCATAATCGGAATCATCCTCATCGTCCACAAACGCTACATCGTCATCATCGTCGCTATCTATAATGTTGCGACGTTTTTTGGGTGCCGCCTTCTTTTTGGCTCCGCCGCTGCTGTCGTCGTCTCGTTGACGCTTGGCCGGATGCTTAATGGGCGAGTCATCGGACTGGTCAGTATCATCATGAATGTTAACGACGTGGCTATTATCCGCCATAGAATTACCGCCCTCATCATCCGAATTGATGAATGAGTAATCAACTTTTTTACTAGCCGCACGTCGACCAGGACGTTCCATACGTGGTACCGCCTCCACTTCCATATCCTCAATATCAGAATCATCCGAACCCTTTCGCTTCTTACCCTTTAATGTGGAGAGAATTGAGAGTTTAGTTTTTGGGTGAACAGCGTAGGAGTTGATTTCTTAGTTTTACACACTCACCTTTGTCTTGCCAAAGTCCAGTTTCGGCTGCTTGAGTCCGTCGCCGTTCTCCTTCTTTGCCCGTGGCTTCTTCTCACCGGGCTCCTTTTTAGCCGCAGGCCCTTTCTTCGCCTTGGGGTCAGCCTTTGCAGTGCCGCCTTCGACGAGCGCATCGAACTCGTCGATCGCATTGCCGGGCTCCTTTTTGGCAGCAATCGCTTTCTTTGCCTTGGGCGATGTTTTTGTGGCGCCGCCTTCAACGAGCGCATCAAAATCATCGACATCCTCGCCGGGCTCCTTTTTCTCTGCTTTAACCTTGGGCACACGCCGATTGACAAGCGCCTCATATTTTTTGAGTAGTTCATCGGTGAGCTTAAATGCCACCCGCTCGCCGGTGGGATCGGGAAAGATGTCCTCGTTGCCAGATGCAGCTTTGCCTTTTTTGCCACGACCGCCTGCTGCCTTTTGCGATTTTATAGCCTTTGCCTGCTTCAGATTGATGCCTTGCTCCTCGAGACGCTCCTTCTCCTCGACCTCGTCGAGCTTCTGTTCGAGATTATCGAGATCATCCATCCACAGATGATTTGGCGTCTTCTTCATCAGATTATCCAGTTCGATCAATTTAGTGTCGCGTTGCTTAAGCAGTTCGTTTTTGCGCTCCTCCGTTAGCATCCACATGGACATACCAAGTAGATAGTCGAATTTCTTGACTTCGGTGAGCTTTTGGAATGCCTTCTCTGGATCCAGCTCCTTTTTGACCTTCTTGCCAGAGCCAGACGCTCCAGTTTCCTCGTCTTCTTCCTCTTCAGCATCGGCCGTTTCGGCCTCCTCTATTTTGATGCGTCGCTGCCATTCTTTGACAGGATCGGGACGATAACCACGCTTGATCAGCTCATCAATCATGACCTTGCGCTGCTTATTCTCAACCACCAGCTTCTTCTCACACTTTTCGAGAATGAAGCGCGCCTGATCGCTGAGGCGATCCGCCTGAGCCGTTAGCTGACCAACAAGATAATCCTTGCGCCGGTTATAATACTCCAGGCGCAACTTGTAGAACTCCAGCAGTATATCCTTGGGCGAGGAGAAGCGACGCAAGCAATTGCTATCATCGAATGCATGCATTTGATTTGTGGATATTGAGGAGCTCAGCTTGAAGACGCGATGGAAACCGCCATTCTCGCTCCGCAAACGCTCAAATTCACCAGGATTGAAGCTGACCACAAAACGCACCGTTGTATCCGTATGAAATTCACGATATTCACTGACAATCGCTTTCACCTTCTCGGTGCCATTGGACAGGGCCTCCAATACATTCTCCTTGTACGTTTGAGTCCACACACCAATTGGCAGCTCAGTGATCTCGATGCGATTGTCTGACAACATCTGAATATTACCCGAGTGCACGTAACGTCCATCGTTGACGTAGTCCATGTTGCCGGTAAAGTTCTTATACCATGGATGCATTAGCAACGGCTCCTCACCATTGATCATGCGTCGCAAATTGTTGATCAATTCGCGTGGATTATAATTGGCTATCTTGGTGGACCAGCCGGTGCCAATGCCCTCGGCGCCATTAACCAGAACCATCGGTATGATGGGTATATACCAAAGTGGCTCAATGCGCTGTCCATCATCTGTCTGATACTGCAGCAGTGGATCATCCAATGGATGATAGATGAGACGGGTCAGCGGCGACATTAATGTGAAAATATAACGAGCACTCGCACAATCTTTGCCGCCCGTCAAACGTGTACCGAACTGACCGCGTGGCTCCAGCAAATTGATATTGTTTGAGCCCACATAGTTCTGCGCCAGATTCACAATCGTCATCTGCAGCGACACCTCGCCGTGATGATAGGCAGACATTTCGGCCACCGAACCCGATAGCTGAGCCACCTTCACCTCGCGCTTATCGTTACGCTTGAAGCACGTGAACATCACTTTGCGCTGGCCAGGTTTGAGGCCATCCACCAGACTGGGTATAGAGCGTTCATTGTCCGCATTGGAGAAGAGTACCAGTTCCAAATTGATGAAATCCGAGTAGCTCACTTGCTTGGTGCCCTTCGTATACAGGTAGCGTTCCGGCAAGCCCAATTGCTTGCGTCGCTTCACTTCGTCCATGTGATTCGTTAACCATGTTTTGCGTGAATCTACATGCTTCTTGGCGAACGCCATTACAATGTTATCATCATCCACCTGACCGTCGTATTTGAACAGAATCCGATGGCGCTCCATGTCCTGTGAACAATTTAATTGAAGACATAATTTGTATTTTTTTTTTTTAAATTTGATTTTTTAGATCGATATTGATATTATCGACAGACAATATACCTGGAAATACTCTTTGGCCTCCTTGGAGGTTGAAGTACCGAGACCCTTATAGTACTTGATATTATACGTATGATGATTGGCTGTATCCATTTTCCATTCCTCGAATTCGGGCATCGAATAGAAGGAGAGCTCCTCATTCTTTTTCGTTGCCTTCACAATGGGCGTAATGAACTCCTCGAGGAACGGCAGACGCAACAATTCCGGCCAGTTGGTGTGTATAAAATTGATGAGCAGACCCTTAATGTGGGAACCATCCTGGTCCTGATCAGTCATGATCATCACCTTGCCATAGCGAAGCGTCTTCAGATCATCGATACTCAAATATTTCTTCTTATACTGCAGTCCAATGATCTTGCACAGATTATTGATCTCGGCATTCTCGGTCAGTTGCTTGAAAGTGGCCTCGCGCACATTGAGTAGTTTACCGCGCAGCGGAAACACGCCGTAATAGTTGCGACCAATGACGCCCAGGCCGGAGACGGCCAAGGATTTTGCCGAGTCACCCTCGGTGAGGATAAGCGTGCATTGTATGGAGTTTTTGGTGCCCGCCTCGTTGGCATCCTCTAGCTTGGGAATACCCTTAATTTTGGACGACTTCTTGCCGCCGGTTTTGGCAATATCGTTTTGTGCCTTGAACTTGGCCCAAGCGAGTACAGATTCAACAATGCCCGCCTTCGAAACGGACCCAATAAACTTATCGGATAGCACACACTTGGAGCCGAAACTCTTGGCCTGCAGCGTCATGTTCTCTTTGGTCTGTGAGTCAAAGGTAGGATTCTCGATGAGGCAATTGACGAATATCCACAAGTGATTGCGCACTTGAAACGGTTTAATACTAATGCCATTCTTGTTCTTCTTCTTTAGGACCTCAATAAGCTGCTTGATGACATTGTCCACAACATGATCGACATGGCGACCACCCTTGGTTGTGGCTATCGAATTGACGAATGAGACTTGCTGAAAGCCACGCTCCGATGGGCAAACGGCCACCTCCCAGCGATCACCGCACGCCTCATAGACCACCTTGATGGGTTGACCCGAATCCTCATCGTCATTCTTTACAAACAAATCAATGTAGTCCTTGAAGCCCTTCACAGGCACCTTGGTGCCGTTGAGGAATACAGACACACCCTTCGTGGAGGCGGCCACATCGTAGGCGCGTCTCGACATCAGCGCCACAATATCCTTATCCAGCGAATCCATCTTAAACTTAGTCAAATCTGGACTAAACGTAATCCGTGTAAAATCAGTGCCGCTAGAGTCTTTTATCTGCAATAAAGTGCATTTTATTGTCATAGATTGAGTTCAAGCTGAGAAAATACTGTTGTCTATATTTGTTACTTACGATTGGATCGCCCGCTTTGCCCATGTTGTTACCCCAAGTTTGCTTGAAACTCTTTCTGAACTGCTTGGTGGATGTTTCCACTGTGAAGCTGTCCGAGAAGATGTTGCACAATTTGGCGCCGTAGCCATTGCGACCGCCAGTGACCTTCTTCTCATCATCGTTATAATTCGACGAGGTCAACAGATGACCAAATATCATGGTGGGTACATACATATTCTCCTCCTTGTGCATAGTGACCGGAATGCCCTGGCCATTGTTCCAAATCGACACAATATTCTTCTCCGGATCAATGTCCACTTTAATGGTGTTCATCGATTTGTCACGCTGCTTATTATCGGCTGCATTCACCAGGATCTCATCGAAAATCTTGTAAAGACCCGGTACAAATGATATCTCACGCTGAACCATGCGATTTTTCTCAAGATCAAGAACCCACATCAGCTCCTTGGTAAACTCAACGGAACCAATATACGAGTCCGGTCGCAACAGAATGTGCTCCAGCTGCGATTTCTTCTGGTACATCTGTTCGATGGACATGGCGTTTTTACCGTTCTGCATGTTGGTGATGTTGTTGTTCTTATTGTTGTGCTGTAAATAAAATGAAATGCCATTTAAGAACAACTCAAAACTCCACACTCAATCAATAACAACTGTACCCAAAACGTTCTGCTTTGTTTACGAGACGAAAGCAGTTGCGTATGCTGCGATTATTAATCATGAGCAGAAAAACAGTTTACATAGATTTTTCGTTGAATACTTAAATAATGCGGGGCCGTACGCTGTATATTGGTAATTATCCACTTATTTCTACTATTTTCAAATATATTTTATTAATAGTTTTTCTTTTTTATATATTAATATTTATTTAATATATACGACCCCAATTTAATTTTACACGTATATTAATAGCAGCATGATCAGCGTACCTGGCTGGGAATAAAAAGAGCGCGCACAATCCGTAGATGCGTTCGCGTAAAACAACCCTGTGTTCGAAGAACAGTTGAGCCGGTTATTTTATGCACTAAAAAAACTGCAATTACTGCGAGACAAACAAGAGTCAAAAAATATTTTCAAATATTTTTGACATTACATAATGTCAGTGCACCATTAATTGCGAACAATTTAAATTAACACAAAGAAAAACAAATAAACAACAACAAAATACTTATGCTTGGCGCAATTTATATGAGCATGTGTTTGTGTGTATCTATGTGCAGCACATTTGCCGGCTTTATGGTAGTCTTATGATATTAATGTGTGCCCTAAAATATCAATTTATAAAAGAATTGGCAACACAAACTACAGCTATTTAATGTTTGAACAAAGGCATTTCGTATACACAGCTTACGTACAGAAATTCTATCTACATGCCCAGCGCCATTTTTAATTTGCAAATGCGACGCCGCTGGGCCAAAACCATTTACTTTTTTTTTCAAAATGGCACACAAAACACTTATTAGAGCAACGCTCTAAATGTGGGTCGTCACCATTAACTATCTAATACATTATAATTTTGCTCACCTTATTAATCACTTGTTTAAATTCTGTGGTTCGTTTGAAGAAACCAACGCGCGGCAGCAAATGCAAAAATTGCACACACAGCAGAGGCCGCCGCACTGTGTTTTGTATGTATATTGTGTGTATGCGTCGCCTGCGCTTTTGACTGCACGCAGATGATGTACACTAAAACTTACTACTATATAAACGCGAATCGTTTTGTTTTCAACACCAAATAAAACGGACTTCACAATAAAATTCAACGAGATGGATGTGAAAATTGCCTGGCCGCAATGCACCCGTCGCCAAACAGTACTGCCAAGTTGTTTTTCGATATCTATCGATATATGTTGCCAGACCTGGGCCAACTTCAAATTTGTAAATGCACCACATGCAACAGCAACGGAGAGCGTTGCCACATGAGCACTGTTCGGCTTGATATTCAAGCTAAGCGATCTAATCGATAACAAATTATTAATTGGCGGTTATGTTTCAAATGCTGAAATATTTTTCATTTGTTATTAAACATTCTTTGATTTACAAAGCTTTATAAAATTATGGGAAAATTATAAGCTCTAATTAGCCAGCAGTCGCTAATTTCATTGATAATATTGAGCATATGTAAATTATGAATGAATTTCTTGCCAAATTAACACAAATTAAAGCCAAATTATGCTCAAAAAGGCCTGGCAAGCAAAAACAAGTTTTGCCGCAGACCCGGCTACCTATCCTTGACCAACGACAATAAAAAGTTTGTTGCACTTGCCCCTGTGGTCGGATTTCATTGTATGTTGCATCTAAAGCTAGTTCGAATATATTTGTAAACAAAGAATGTTCTGGGATTAGAACAATATCTAAAATATCAAATGCCACAGAAATTGCAAATATAGTTGTCGTTTTAATCAATTACTTAGAAATAATTACTTACATTGCCTCTGCTGAAGATTGTGACGTCATTAAGAAGCTCATTGAACTTGCATAGCGGCTCTTATTACGTATGCACATAAATACAAGCATACATTACACTCGCATCACAATCATCATCATCAAGTTGTGGCCTCCATTTTTAACCTTACGATTTCCAGTTCCAGCTTCATATTATATTTACTCTCACTGGCAACTAATGACATCAAACTGCTCTACTTTTGATGACACTATTTGCACTTTCATTATTAAAAATCAGTAATACAATCATCCGATGATTTTACTTAAAGTAAATAGGTATTGCATTTTCTTTCATGATGTTGCATAGATTACATATTTTTACTTATTTAAGAAGCGTGTGCAAGTTTCGATGATATGTCTTTGTTACTTTTTTTTGCATTGTACAGAACTTGATGCTTTTAATTTATCTTGCTACTCAACTTGGATACGGGTTTTCTGTGTGTCGTTCTGAGTGTTGGGGGCATAAAATGTTTTGTTCTCGACGATCTTTAACTCAGTGTTAATACAAACTTGTACGACGACGCTGTTGCTTTTGTACAAGAAAGAAATGTATTAATCCCAAGCCTCTCCGTGCGTGATAAATATTAATAACGACAATAATTAAATACTTGACCACAACAATATACTTGGTAATGGAATAATAAATAAAATGTATACCATTTTAGGCAAGATTGTTTCGCTTTTAGAGCTAGTTTGTGTTTTCAAGTGTAATGTTATTTTTATTGTGGTATTTAAAATATCAATTAGTATATACAAAACCTATGTAAAATAATTAAAGATATGTCATCTGAGTAGAATGTAGCTTTGACAATTAGATAAAATGCATTTCCAATTAACACATTATAAATAGAATCGAGGTTCGTTGACATTTTGAACTAAAGGTTCAATATCCATTAGAGTAGTATTCTAGTCTGTGATTTCCAGCAATACTAAAAATTACAATTACTCATTCAAGTCGAACCTAGCTTAACGCCTGTCAATATTTGCAGTCCGAACCTGTAAGTTTAGAACATTGCAATATTTACAAAGTTGCACGTATTAGCTGATTTTGGTTTCAGTTAGCTTAGAGTGCAAATAGATGAGATCTGTAATGCAACGCGGTTGTTCTTGGGAAACCTCTGACGACCTCGTATACTGTAGTACAAGTTGACAGTAAAGTTAGCTTTCTTTTCAAAAAGTGTATACATTGTTCTGTAAACAGAACGTTAAGATTGCATATTAAAGGTAAAGCAAAGAAAAAAAAAAAACAAGTGAATAATATATGATTTTACTTTGAAAATCGCAACAAAATAGTTATAATTTGACGATCAATGTATTTGTTTAAATATTGACCTGAAGCGAATGACATATTAAAATTATATCAAGCGGTCACAAAACAATAAATAAACGATACAACAAATGTATTGATATAAAATGCAAAAAGAAAGAAGAATACAATCAAATCATAACAATAAAATTAAAAAAAAAATAATAATAATATAATGGATATATAAATAAATAAATTTCAACGATAATTTTCAAAACAAGCAAACGCTTTTTTTACCTACGTTTAAATATTCATTTATGTCCCTTATTTACTCTAAACTAAAGGTGTAATTTCCTTTACCTAATTCCTTTTGCAAATATACCTTAGAACTTTAGGCGAGGTGTGTACTGTGCACACTTTTAAATTGCGAAAAGCTGAGCATTTATCGGTTTACAACGTGCTTACAAAACATATACAAGTATATATATATATATTTATAAATATATGTGTATATATATATATATATGTGTGTGTGTGTATATATGGAACGGAAGAGATTGGAGAGACGTTATTCTTATCAGGTTCGTTGAGCAATTGGGTTGAGTTCAGTAAGAGCTTTGCTCTGGGGTAACGCTCTAATCATCATCGTCTCATTTTGTGTTATCGCAAAAATGGCTTTATGTTTGTGTTATTTTTGTTTATAAATTGCATGGGATTGAAAACATTTGTCCTCATTTTTGCCTCATTCGGTGACTCAGTTTCAAACTTGAACTCGAGCGTTGAACAAGAACCAATTAACAAAATTTTCAAAATGGTAATAAAACTTTTAGTGTCTACTGAAATTAGTTAAAGTCGAGCTTCACTGTGTCGCCTTTTGTAGTGTAGCAATGTTGATACTAAAAAAATGTGGCTAACAATGACACACGTGAGATTAACAATATCTCGATCTAATCCCACAAGATGTGCATAATCGTGTTCTCAATTATTATTGTTATTACTTTGTGAAAATCGCTTCAAGTTGTGACAGAGTCTAATTGACAGCTCGCAACGAAGTCTAGCAAAAAGTGGAAGTTGCATCGGCAACATTAAATTGCAGTGTGGCAAAGTATAAAAGCAGACAAAACAAAATTAGAAGTGAATCATAAAATTTACCACAAATTAAAAAGAAAAAAATAAGAATACAACAAGCCTCCAAAATGTAGCAAAATTAAATGCTTTTCTCTCCCTTAAAGGCCACAAATGTACGCAAAATGCCAGCCATAGAATACAAATTGAACATCACCGAGGAGGAGATACCAGAGAGTATACGGCTCATAGCCGAACAGCAAGGAGAATGCCAGAAGAGCAAACAGGAGACAATTGCTCAATTTCGCGATTATATTTTGGGTAGCTTCAAAATGAAATGTGCACATTCGAAAAAATAAGAGTTATTTATTTTATAGAACACAACGATTGCCAGCCACATCGAAATGATGACAAATATCTGGAAAAGTTTCTACGTGCCCGCTACTGGAAGCTGGGAAATAGCTACAAACTGGTATATATTTAAATATGATATGAGATCCATTCCTCGCTATCATGATAGCCATTTACAGCTGTGCAGCTACTACAAATTCCGGGAGGAGAATAAAAACTACTATGAGAAGGTGCGTCCCATTGATCTGAGGCATCTGGGCGATGAGAATATATTGACAGTGACGCCATATCGCGATCAGCTTGGACATCGCATACTCATCTATCGCTTTGGCATATGGCGACCAAATCGCGTCACTGTCGATGATATATTCAGGGCTACGATTATTCTACAGGAACTGGGCTCCATGGAGCCTATCTCACAGATAATGGGCGGTGTGGCCATATTTGATTTGAAGGATTTGGGACTGGAGCATCTGATCCATTTGAGTCCCGGTGTGGCACAGAAAATGCTTGCCTTATTAGTGGTAAGTTGGCTAAAGGGGGCAATCTTTTGTGATTAGTTAGTTAATAAGTTTCTTTTATAGACCTCCATGCCCATTCGCACATCCGCCCTGCACATAGTCAATCAGAACTGGCTCTTTAATGCAGCATTTAAGATTTTCAAGCCTTTCCTCAATGCCTCCATGCGAGAGCGTCTTTTCATACATGGCAGCGATATGAGTTCCCTACACAAGCACATTAATCCCGAAAATCTGCCTAAACGGTGAGTCAATTACAGAATATTCTATTGTATTTTATTATAAAAGGCTTTATCTATTTTGTAGATATGGTGGCTTACATGAGGATTATTCCTACACGCTCTGGTTGGAAATGTTGGAGCAACAGTGTGCGAACAGTGGTGTTCAGAAGGAGATGGAGCAACTGGGTTTTATTTTCGATTAGGCATATTCAAAACTATTTTTTGTACTCCAATGCTCTCTTAAATAATATGCATTAAACATTTGAGGAAAAGTCAATTGTTCTTTTAAATGTCGTAACAGTTCATTCATAATAATTAAGTAAATCCTTTAGCACACTGATTATTTTCTCTAAAAAAAAGTGTCAATACTCTACACTATGTTCACAGTTTATTTATTACCTAGGAGATTTAATCTTCATCCCATATCGACCAATGAAAGATTTTTTAGCTAATCAAATGCTTGACTTATATTAATCAAAAAGCAAATAACCATTTGAGGTTAGGTCAAAGCACAATTTTGAGGTTAGATCCCGTCAATATAAAATTTTATGCGCCGTACATTTGTCGCACAACATAACCAAAAACGACAACTGCCCCCCCGAGGCAATAATAACAAGAAGAAAATCAAATGAGGAAGCCAGTCCGTATGGAAATTAGTTCCGGTCAAGGAATCCAGTTGAAGGAAGACAGGCATCGACATGTTCGTTTTATGTATTTTATATGCAAAATGTGTTTAGGTGTAAGAGCGAGATGGCAGCTGGCTGTGATTTGTCCCTTATGGTAATTGAGTGTTGGACAACGCATAAAATGCAGCACGGTCACATAAATATTTTTGCGCCTCTCCTAAATCCATCCGCTCCCTCCCTCTCTTTCTAGCACTCTCTTTGAGCGTTACAAATATGTTTGATATTTTTTATTGAATTCGTCGGTGGGGTGCCGGGAAGCTGCTGTCTTCTCTGCCAAAACAAACAGTAAAAAAATTGACCCACCCCTTCTCCTGCCTTCCCCCCACACACACAATGGTCAAACGATAGTGAAATTGATTTTGGTGCCAGGGGGTCTCTGGTCTCACAGCGATGGTTTTGTCCCCGCATATAATCTCTATGTGTGCGCCATTTGTGCGATTAAAGCGACAAGATTAAAAAATTTATTGCACAAATATTTATGGGGGACAGTAGCCCAACAAAAAAAGAGACAACAAAAAACACACCCACACACACACACACACACTGGCGGCTAGCATAAACATAGCCTACATATGAGCGAAGGGGGGCGAGAGTGGAATGGGAACACGGACACTGTCCCGTTATTAGCTCAGATCCAAGTAACACGTGTGCGAGCCAAAGGCTGAACTGAATATAATTTATGGCAGGCGAACACCAAATTTATTTCTATTCCATTGATATCGACTAGGAGCGGGGGCGTGTCAAGCGGCAAGGGGTGTCCACATTGCGAAACTGTGCTACTCAACATATGCCACATGCGAATAAGTAGTACAAAAGCTAAAATGAACAGAGAGGGATGTCTCCTGTTTTATTTCGTACATTCGAAATATGGTGTCTGAAAAACAAAATAATTCCTAGAATGTTTCTGGGGGGAGAGGAACACAATTTGTAGATATTTGTAATGTAAATTGATTACCCCACCTAACGTAAACTTCTATTAGATGGATAATGTTCAGGCATTTTCCCTTTTAGTAAGGAAGTAAAATAAAATAAAATGTATTAGTAATTATATTATAAATATATTACAATTCAGATCATTGCAACGCCCCATTCAACCTGCAGTCCAAGGTGGTATTTACTGTATACTGAAATTTCTTCACCTATAGCCTCAGACAGCTAAGGAATGTTTAATCAGCTGAAAACGACTTACTGATATTTTAAAAAGAGACACACTTAAACATTGAGTCAGGATAATGTAGTTTTTTTCATTAAAAAAATAATCTAATAGTTATATCCATTTTACTTTCCCAGCCTGATACCTGCAGGTCATCTTATAGCTAAGCCATTGTCTTTATAATCCGTACCCGGAGTAAACATGCTAAATCCTTATCGTTAAGCAGCGATTATAACTCAATCTCAGCTTAATCCGCAATGATTTCCTTGGCACGCACACGGCTTGCCCCAACCACGGGGCCATGTGAAAGATATATATGTATATTTTGCAACCATTTATCAAGGCATGGTGGTCCCACATCGATGAGGTTGTGCTCTGTGTCCACGCCGGTGTCTGTGCTCTTAACCAGGGGTCATAACGAGCCGCCATTTATACAGTTTACACCTTCGCCTCCGGACATAGGAAGTAGAAGAGGAAGATGCTACCAAACGGAAGTCAACACATTGACAGCAAATATTTCAATTATTTTTGCCAGCCAGTTTATTTATGGGTTTAGTGCTGGGTCAGTTTCGCTCTTTTTGGCTGACTTCATGTTGTTTACAAATCGCTGCCCATAATTTATTGTCGTTCCTCCTGTTTTGGCTAACATTTCTGCCAATGAGTGAATGATAAACTGCGACGCCTGATAACCAACGACATTGGCTGATGGATGATGAGGAGACGAGTGCAGAGGGGTGAGTGCTTGGTCATAGAGCTCATTAGGAAACAATTACAAAAGCCGACAAGCGCACAGCTGAGGGTTGCCAACAAATGTCACCCTTCTCTCTAAGAGAGTGTGTGTGTGTGTGTGTGCAGTGTGAAAAAGGTCAGGTACGGCATGTCCAAGTGTCAGAGTTGACTGACAGTTGACAGCCGGGTTACGCCCACAAATGTGGCACTCGTATAATATGGTTAATTTTCGAGTGTGAACAAAATATAAATCTTTATTGCAAGGGGTATATAAAAAATATGAAGTATGTTTTATTATCTGTCGTTTGATTTTAGTTAAGGAAAAAACTTGTTGCACTTGTTAGACAAAATAGGGAAATAGCGGCAAATTAACTTTAAGATATTATCATTCATATTCAAGAAGGTTGCCCAACATGCTGTGATTAATTCAAACTGTGTAATCAATTAAATTGAAAAAATCTACATTTAATTGCATCATTATTCTGTAAATAACATACAACAATGTAGGTATTACAAATATAATTAAGACTAGAAGAACCGGTCCCGATAGATTCAAGATCAACATGCATAATAAAATGCGAAAGCGCGAGATACTCTGAGGCCAGATATAATTTCCGATTTATGTACAAATTAAATGCCCCAAGATAAATTCATAATTACTTAAAAAGTCAGTATAACACACAAAGCATATTAAGCAGCGAATTAGCAGACTTATAATATATATAATATATATATACTTATAATATACGTATAACAGTTACTAAACATACAGCATTCACCTGCTAAGCTCAACTTTACTATATATTCTAACATTCTGCCTGTATCGATTCTACATATTCAATTGATATCCCCTCACATGACATTTAAGCCGCCCGTCGAGTTTTTATAGAGACAACCCACTGGCCGCAACTCATATGGAAACGAGCAGGAGCAACGTTGGACTGGGTGGGAAGCAATGGCAATGTAAATTTTTGTGCAAGTCGATGTCAACCGCTGGCATCGATTTTCTGTTGATTTACCAGAAATTATTTGTGATAAAACACGATATTTGCTCATGTTTAAAGTGCACTCCAGGAGATGAAGCAATCATTGGAGGGGGTGTGCAGAGAATGAGAGAAAGAGAGGGTAGGAGAGGACTGCTGGTTGACAATCAATCACATCACATGGCAGACTGAAGACGGGTGGCGTTTTGAGAAGCAGTGGATAACATGCGAGGAAATCTATGCGCTTTTAATGCTGCCTAATCCGGCGTAATAAACATTCACGTAATATGCGGGAATCAATTGAGATGCAATTGAAAAGGACTCGTCATGCAAATATTTGAGGGGATACAGCGAATGACAATGGGTAAAACACAAATACATACACATACACATACACAAACCCACACACACATACACAGGGACTTAGTCTAAGTCAACAAACAAAAGTCGAGGCACTTCAGCCGCGAATTAGTTGTAAATGAGCAGTGAAAAAAACCGCGGCATACTTTTGGGCATGAGGGCTTAAAGTAAATAGCCGAGCAAAATAGGCAAAGCCCCCCGCTCTCCAACTCTATCAGGCAGCATCAGCACGTGTCCTGAGCACCACCTGGCTGAGGGAGATCCATGAAAAATACCCTTTCGCCACGAACAACGTTGATTATTACAATATTTTAATTGGCCGCTGGCAAATATTTGCACACCTTTAACCCTTTTTAATATGGCTAAGTGCTGCAGTTGTCTATTCGCTGAGTGTTTTTTTTTGACTCTCGTCCAGCCATATAGAAATCTCGACGGTTAAATCACAGCAGCCTCTGAGTGCCGTTGACTCGAGTCATTTTGAATGGGGCCAACGGAACGAGAAAAAAAAAAACAAGTTGAGTGGGAAGGCAAATAAATATTAAGTGGAGCAACTGTGATATGCCCTGTAAATCGGTAAATTTCCTGTGGTTGAATAATCAACAAACAAGACTTGTTTTCGTAACTGTTTGTATAATATTAATGTATTTTGTGTTTTATTATTGTATGTTATATTAAATAATATTAAATATCCATCATATTTCATTCTTTTATTACTTTTTTTTATTTCTGCTTATATATTGTGTTTATTTTAAGATTGCTTTGTATTAACAAAACACGACTTGAATATTTGTATATATATAAGTAGTAGTTAGGCCGAAACCTTCGGATACTATAACCTAAACTAGTAAATAGAACTTAAACAGGGTGTTCCAAAAGAAAAAAAAGAAATCGCAAACAGAAAAACAAATGGAGCATGCACAGGAGAATAATTCGATTGTGTTCAATTTAATTTTGACAAGCTTCAATGGCACAGCAATCCAAGCCCAAAGGATCTGCCCCCGTGTGGTTTTGGTTGTGTGTTTGCCACAGCACAAGAATTGGGCGAGGCGGCAGTTGATTTGATTTTGTTTTATGTTTCCTGCTGGCGGGGAATACTTTGTTACTTCACCCCCTCGACTACAGATTGAGGCGGGCGGGTTTCGTCTAAGGGTAAGATTCGATGTTGAAAACAAGAACAACAGCAGCAGCAGCCGCAAAAAGATTTTGTGGTCAGTTTTTGTGGCTTAGCAGAGATGAGTATAGTCAGATAGTTCCAAAGCTCTGATAAGTGTCAGTCATCAATAAGAAAGTCACCATAAAAAACTAGACAAGATAAATCCGACTTCCTTACAGGGATTGGAAAGCATTTCTAAAGTGTGACTGCATCAAACTAGCGAATAAAACATGGATTAAATTTCATACCGCAGGAAAATCGAATTATTATTGGAAAATATCAAATAATAGTGTTATTAATTGATGGGGTTCAGTCAATCGAGAGCTTAAGATATTAAACAAATGATGTATATCCAGAGATCGGTTCAATATAGGAAGAGCTATATTTTTTTAAATCTAGGCAAATCGATTACTTTTAGAAAAGGTTAAGAACAATTAACAATTTAACAATTATTTGAGAACTTTCGATTGATTGAAACAAGCCGTAAGTTGAGCTACAAAAATTCTACAGCAAACATCTTTAACCCGAATTTGCTTAACTTTCATTTCTATTTTTTATCATTTTTCAATTTTTTTTAGTCCACATTTGGGGTTCTGCTCTGGCCGGAAACCACCAACTGCCCACACTTCCCCCACCCGAAAAAAAAACTTGTTGCACAAAAGTTTGTGACCATAAAATACACAGCTCCCAGATCGCATATAGTTCAGCAACAATATTACATAACAGAATCAGAGAATCTGTTTGGTGTTGGTAGCCAAAACATTTGCACAGCAAAAGAATCAAATTAAAATAAAACAAGCAAAACTCTCAACGCCCATGTCCAAATAGTCCGGGTCCCAACTCGAAGGGAGGGGCTAGAAATTTTTCTGCTGCCTCAGCAGCATGCACCTGTGCAGTCCAGTCCGAAATCCTTTTGCACAAGTCAAGCCAAAGCAAACACAAATACAATCATATATACTACATATGTATGTATGCACACATGCACACACATATACATTTACATATACATATTTATTTATATGCAGGGAGTTCCTATATACACACACGCATACACAAGCAAAACAAATCGAGCGACTTATCAGCACTAAAGTATCTCCCATTGACTTATGCACTGGAAAATGGAACAATGGATGCTCCACAGGATGCTCACATTGTTCCCCACCACCCTCTTCCTAGCGTTGACTGCCCTTCCAGTGCAAGCGCCAACCAAACGTTTGCCCGCAACTGGAAAGTTGACTATGTAGGAATTTCTGTGGTAGTTTCTCATAAATATGCGCGCACACAAACACACACACACACACACACACAAACACACGCACACATACACACCTATGCAATCCATGGTCAGCAGCAAGTGGGCGGAGCCGCGGTAGCATAAGGTGCGCTGTTGAGTGTGTGTGTGTATCGCTGTCGCTCTATGCTTGCTTAAGTATATGTGTGTGTGAGCCATTTTTTATGCGCTCGATGGCAATTCAAAAACGCCTACTTCAAGAAGACCAACAACAACCACCACCACCACCACCACCAGAGCAAAGCAATGCAAACCGACGATAGCAACGACGAAGTCAAAACCAAAGCGAACAAAAAATTGCCGAAGCTGCAGGGAGAGCGAAGCAAAGCTTTCGATAGGTTCGTGTTTTTGTATTCCTGCACAGTGGGACGAGCTCGGAACAAATGTGTTGAGAGGAAAATATTAGTTAGGAACTGCAAAGCAATGCAAAATAGATTTTAATACATATGTAAAAATTGATGTAAATCTGAACAACTGGGATAACAATACGCGCAGCTTATAATAATATATATATAAGTATATATTCATGTAAGTCGAGTCGACACATGTGAAGTTGATCAAATAACAGGTTGATGGGCTACACCCTTAGCAAAATCTGTAGTCTGAGACTGCACTTAAATTTTCTCAGGAAGCATAATTTCAATAACCAAAAAGAATTGAAATTATGTTTTGCAATTTTAAGACTCGCACAAAATGTTACAGAAATAAAAATTGAGCGTCATTTTGCGCGCCACTGTGCAGAAGATGAGAGGCTTTCGTATTTGCTCTGCAAAACGAGAGAGCGCCAAAGGCAAATGGTAAACTTGGACGTTTGAAAGGGGTGCCAAATGCTCATGCTCTCGCTCTCTCTATGCTAATGCTTGTTGTTGTTGTACTAAGCTTTTGTAATTTCAGCAGGAGCTCAACAGCGAATGGCGTGCAAGCTGGCAACGTGTGGAGCTGTCGCTGCTGCTGCTGCTTTTTCTCTTTGCCAACACAAATACATACGACACGCACACACGGACATACTTATGCATGAGAATTGAGGCGCTGCGCGCGTCGCGGCCATTCTACGGCCAGGGCCACCCTTCAGTCAGCCGAATCAGCTAGAGCCAGACTCAGTCGCCACCGTTAACTCTTTGAAACTGGACGCAGCGAGCGGCAACAAAACAGAATTTGGTTACGACGCGGTCGCGCCAAAAACAGATTTGAAAAAAAAAATAATTGGAAAATTGTTGGGCAAAAAAATTTAAGATTTAAAGCAAACGAAAAAGCATATAAAAAGAAAATAAAGGGCAAGTGCAGTGAGTGTGAACAAAGCTACAATCGATAATCGACAATCGAGAATCGATAACCGATCATTGCCAAGTGCCAGTGTGAGTGAGTGCCCCCGCCCCCTGACTTAACTATTAACAACCAAACCCCCCACCACAACCACCAAGACTTCCGCACTCCCGAAGCCGTTGCATGTGAACCGGCGATCCGATGAAAATGGAAGATCCCACCATTGCCGACACATACGTGCAGGAATTCAATTTGGATCATTTGGGAGTCGGTGTTGCTGGCAATTCGGTGACTACACTGACGCCACTGGCAGTTGCCGCCATTGGGCATGTGAAGCGCGAGGATCACAGTCCGCCACAGCCGGTGAAATGGACAACAGAGCCGCCAGCGGATGATGACACGGAACCGTTGCCATTACCACTGCCACACCCACATACACATCCACTACCACTGCCCATTGCCGTGCCTGAAGCAGTTGCCGCTGGCGGAGATGTTTCCCAGCTGGCCTCCGTGTCGCATATAAAGCTGCGCTCCTTCTCCGGCCATCAGTGGCACATAGATGAGCGACGACTGCAGCCGCTCAGTCCGCCGCCCGAGGGCTACGTGGGCGGCCCGATGGGCGGACAAGCGGTGCTGGTCAACACAACCTCTTCCTCAACCACCTCCTCCTCCTCCTCAGCCACCTCAGCTGCAGCTGCAGCGGCGGCTGCTGTCTCAGCGGCTGCCTCCGCTGTGCCTGGCGGTGTGCCCTCCACACCGCCTGAGACGCCGCCAGTGGTGGGTTCACCCACCGGCAGCGGCAGCTGCCCCAGTCAGGCCTATGCCCATCATTACCATGCCGGGCGCACCAATTCCTCGGCCGTTGCCAGCGTTGCTAATGTTGCGGCCGTGGGTCTCAGCCAGGAGATGATGTGGCTGCCAAATTCGATGCGAGCGGAACAACAGCCGTTGGATTTGCGTCCGCTTGCCTGTCCCGGTTCCCAGGAAGAGGCCGAGGAGTGGGAACGGCAGCGAGAGTATGCCATGCATGCCGCCGCAGCTGCGGCCCATCATCATCATGGCCGTCCGCTGATGCAGAGCCATCACCATCATCACCACCATCATGCCCAGATGCTTGTGCAGGCGCAGACGCACACCCCGCACCATCATTTCCACAGTCTGGAGCACACGCTGCCCATTAATATGCACACGAATCCCGCCAACTCCTATGCGGGCAGTCCGGGTCCCGTCTCCAGTGGCCAAGTCTGCTCCACAATAACGAACTGCGGGCCACAGCTGGCATCGGCTGGGAGCAGCAGTGGCGCGAGCAGCGCCTCAAATTCACGCGGCTGTGTGCGCTCCATGCTGCAGCCGTGTCGCCCCCTCTCCGCGAGCTCCACACGCAGCTCAAACAATTCGCCGCACACGTGCTCCGGCGCGTACAGCAATGCAACGCTGGAGGATTGCCTCAACGATGATATGCTGACAACGCTGACGGTGCGGGAGCTGAACAAGCGACTCCATGGCTGCCCACGCGAGGAGGTAGTGCGTCTGAAGCAGAAGCGACGCACGCTCAAGAATCGTGGCTATGCCCAGAACTGTCGCTCCAAGCGTCTGCATCAGCGCCACGAACTGGAGAAGGCGAATCGCCAGCTCAATCAGGATCTGCATCGGCTCAAGGTGGAGTATTCGCGCGTCTGCCAGGAGCGTGACACGCTCATGCAGCGACTGCAGCAGCAGAGATCGGGCGCCGCAGCCGCCGGCGGCGCCGACAATCAAAGTTCACCGGAGTTTTACCTATGACGCCAACTGGCGGCGGCCTCAACAGCTTCCACCTCCAATAGTAACTCGCATTCGTTGCAGCAGCAGCAGCAGCACCAGTCGCAGCATCGTGCCTCGCATCCACATCCGCATCCACATCCGCATTCGCAATGGCCACCGCAGCAGGTGGTCAACTAAACTAATCGGGTAAAATGGCGCCTTTAAATAATCCACAAATGAAAAAGATTCCAAATTTATTTCAAAATCCCATCTATTTCGGTGAAAGAGTTCCGAGAATGTATATTATTTGTCTTTTATTATAATTTATTTCTTAAAATAAGTTCTCAAATTGTTTTCATATAAGTATCCAAAAAAATACTTCATTTTGGCATCATATATATATATTTTTTTTTAACTCCAAATCTAAATATATATATTTTTTTTCTGTATTTCAAAAAAGAGTTCTGTTAAAAGTACCACAAATATAAAATTATATTATATATTATACAATTTTACTGATCCACTTAGCTTAAAGAAAAAAGATCTTCGATGTTTTTTTTTAATTTTTACAAAATTTGGAAAATATTCATAATTTTGGAAGTTATATAATATATTTTTTTTAGTTTTACAACATAATTACATATTTGGTATTATGGCCCAAGCGAATTTGGTTTAATATCATATACATACATATATATATATATTTAGTGTATTTCCAAGTTACAGAACTTTTCGAAAGACTTAAATTATTTTCCTTTTGTTCTCTCAGTTTTTCTCATTGTGGATTATTTCAGGGCGTTCCCTTAATCGAATTACGATTGCAAAAGGTATTTTTCGAGCATTTAAAAATCAACAAACACAATTCATTTAAGAAAAAACCATTTTCACTTTCGATTCGTGACAATAAACGATTTCCCAACTAATTTTGTAAGTTCTTGTTAAGTTAACGATCGATGCAATTCGAACTTTGTCTGATAATCAATTCGTGTAGAGAGACAGATAGATAGAGAGAGACAAAGAGAGAAAAAGAAGATCGCCCCTTAGTTTAAATTATTGATTATGATTATAGAAAAAGGAAAAGAAAAAAACAAATAAATGCAAAAACCACATTAAACAAACATTTCTGTCAGCTACTGATTAATCATGATCCATCGACCGATTACAACATTGTATTACAAATTACGAGTTAGTAACACACGCTTATTTGTTGATTAGTTCTAGCCTTAGTTTTTTCTAGTATTAAGTGAGAGACAACAAAACAAAACAAAAACAACAAAAAATGAAATAAAAAATATCGTGCACCCTATAAATACCTATGTATGCATGTAGGGTTAGACTAAATAGCTGTATAGCATGTTTCATAGCAGACGCTTTCATTTGGTTTCCATATCATACAAAACCCAACACACACACACCCACACACACACACTCCTTGAAGCCCATGCAAAATGCAATAACTATAAACTAAAGGTTGTATTATGTTTTAAACACAAACACTCAAAACTGTTGGAATTACTAATAAAAACAAGTCCTATATATGTAATTAACTCAATGAAATAGCAAACAAGAACAAAAACCAACAACAAATATTGTAAATACAAAGCAAATTGTATAAATTCTAAGCTAAACCTTCGCTGTCTGTCTATATAATAAAACAACAAGTAATGAATACGATACTGATTACGACAACAATTGTGAATAGCTCTTAAGTGTGCATAATGAAACTAGTAATAAATGCAAAAAAAAAACTTCAAAATAAAATCATATTAAGTGTGTTTTTAATTTTAATATAAATATATATAATTCATACATTTATAATAGAAAAATATTATCTTCAGTTTAATTTTAGTTGGATCGTTTGAATTTCTGGCTGATTGTAAGAATCTAAAGTAGAGCCCAGGATGTATTTCGAATGAATATATATTTGACGAGACATTGATTTTTTAACTTACAGGAAATGTATATTTTATATTTTATAGCTTTGTTAAAGTGTAGCATTTTTTTTATTTATAAGATCAGTTCTAACTTAAAATAAAGTTTAGTTTAATTCAAATTGAATATGTTGACTAAACAGATAACAGCTGATTCTAAGCTCTCAAGAGAGATTCGATGAAAATTGGTATATTGCTTTGCATCACTTATTTAAATAGAACATTGAATCGGATTCGTTCAAACTCAGGTAATCAGGTAATATTATGATAAGCAAATGTTAATTTGACATGGGTTATTTTTACATTGCGAATTATACTTGGCTACAAGGTAACTAATTAATGCTTTATATATAGAACTGCACTCAATCACCTTCAACAGAGACATTTCTACATTTCATGAATTTTGACCTGTTGACTCTATGATTACCTATGATTGTGTTAAAAATAAATATTCGAGTCACAAGTGAACAAGTTATCTCAAAGCCAATCCTTCTAATATAAATGAGCAACTTCTCTTACAGATACAGTAGGGAAAACAGATCATAAAATTATTAATGAATTATTTATCAACAAATTGGTACACAGCATTAGAGTACAATTAAAATTTTTTAGATAGACCGTCTAAACTACCAACTTAGAAAACGTTTACCTGAATTTGATTTACCAACTTAGAAAACGTTTACCTGAATTTGATTTATTTTGTTCAACTCAATCTCAACTCAATTCAGCAGATCCCAAAAATAAGATTATGTTTTGTTGTTGTGTAGCTCTCTGTTTGGGTAGCTCCAGCTTCCATATGTAGTTTCCAAGGAATCAATTTTGTGTGGTCTGTCGGCATTGATAAAGCGACCACCAGCAACAGTTGCAAAACTGGCTGTGCCAAAGTAAACAAATAGAACGACTTACCAACTGCGACATCGTCCGACATCTGCACTGGATGACCAGTCCAAGTGCAAGGATCCAGAATTGTGTCAACAAACAAATGAATATCAATGATTGCCACTTGCCCCCTATAATATGCGATCTTGGGACAGCCGGGCTACAGTATTGGATTACAGTCACACCACATCAACAACATGCAGATGCACAGCAGGCGACGTCTCTGTTTATAAACAGCTCCCGACTTGGGACTTGGTGTTGGGGGAACCACAGCGTAATTCGGTGAAGTTGACGCCAAGATCTCCGGTCGAGCCCATCGAGTTCATTAATAAAAATTTCCAAATGCAATATGCTCTGCCGAATTTTCAAATTTTGTTTGTTTTCATTGAGCAGCAGTTTTTTCACTGTTCGTCTAGAACATTTTTCGGTTTTACTGCTGTTTTTTGCATACCCTGTATAAGTGGGTTTGAAAGTGGTGCGTGTTGTCTTTAAGCCTTTAGAATGTAGATCTTTTTCATTAACACTTCTGGTTATGTTTATCTATCTGTGGTTGCTCATTAATATAAACGGCTAAAGCAGAAGAAGATCCGAGATTTGGTGTATAGATTAATAAGAATGTCTTTCAACAAATTGTATTATATATATTTATAGCAAGTTCATTTTTTAGCGATGTCTTTAAATTTTTGTTATTTTCGTTAAGTATTTTGAAGAATTGTAAAGAAATTAAATTAAGGATCAGGATCTTCTTTTCTATTTGTGCATATTTTTATGAATTTCCCGTGTTTCAAGCAAACCCAGAAAACCCTCCATGGATATCAGCTCGTCTTTATGTAATGGAGCACGATACTTTGACGTCTACGTCGAAGACGACAACGCGATAAAGTTGCGCAAGACTTCTTTATTCGAATTTGATTTATCGCGTTTATATGTTGTGTACAATATGTATATATAAATGAGCTTCATAATGATTGCTTTGATAGTGTCCGTCAAGTGGCCATTTTATTTTGATTTCTTTTCATATTTTTAGTATTCATTTGCTTATTTGGTTGTCGTTATGGCTCTGGCTATCGCTGGCTATGTTGGCCAGCTGGAAGTGTCGAATGACACATTTTGTCATGAAAGCGGCACATGCAACGATCCAGAAGAGACCATTAATAAAAAAACAACTAACATTCAAATTGCTGGAAACAATAAAGAAGTAGTTCAATTTTTGGGATGACAAACTAGTCGCATCGCATATAGAAACTACAATAAAAAAATGGTGTATAAAAACTAAAAACTATTCAAAAAATCTTCTCTGTGTAATGTAAAAGAAATTCATTAATAAAAACGAAAAATGCAATATTATTTTTGATCTTTTTAAATACTTAGTGTAAACATATTTCTTCAAATATTTCTATAGCTAGATGCTGCTACGAGTCATAAATAATATGATATAATATGATATATATTTGATATACGTAAGGGTAAGAAATTACACATTATTTCACTTTTATAAATCTCTGAGACCACTTCGACAACTTATATTAGATATTAGCTTTTATTGCTTTTTTAAAACTTAAGCTCACCAATAATTTTCAAACTCAAAAATCACTCAAACGATGCGACATTTGGATGCCCTCAAGTGCATATTAAACAATAATTATTGAATTCTAATGCAAATCGCAGAGCACTCGAACTTTCCTTGGCTGTTTGGGGTAAAGCGAAAGAAGAGTGCCTCAAGAGATGGGGAACGATTGGTGAGGGGTTAGTCAGGGATGGGCTGGGGCAGTACGCAGCTCGTCAAATATGAAATTTATAGACACGGTGAAAAGTGGCAATGACAATTGCCACGAGATCAGGGTCTCCGGTTCGTGGGCATAATCACAGCCACAGGGCATTTTGGACAGGGAGGGGGAGGAGGGAGGTGTGACGGTGACCGGGCAAGTTGTCAACGTTTATTACACACACACACACACAGTTGGCTTGATTATGCTGCGTACTGTTTTTATGCCTGCAGGCCGACGTGTTGACGGCGCCTTGCTATGACTTGGATGAGGTTTGAGATCTGGGGTTGTTCGTCTCTCCCCCCTCTTTCACTTCTTTCCTTTTTTATGCCTCAAGTGGACGGCGACGCGCTTAAGTGGCTACATGCCACCTGCCCCGCCCACCGCTGGTTCGTTGCGTTTTTGTCTTAATTCAATCGATAGTTCACACATGTAATCGCATGATTGGGGGCTTCCTGCTTTCTTTTCTCTTTTTTTTTTGTCTCTTTTTGCGTGTGTCTATTTTTATCGTGTTTGCATGCGGCACACGTAGCGAGCGACATTGTAGAAGGGCGCGTAGGGCTGGCGTTGGGGTTGGGGTTGGATGTGGGGGTTGGCATTGGGGGCTCACTAGTGCTGGCATTCCAAATTGAACATACTGACTTTAACCTTAAATCGTTAAGACATCGCTTGCCGGGCCACTCATTTGCCGCGTCATTCCTCGCCAGCTCATCCACTCAGCCACTCATTAAGCTAATGAAGCGCTCC